TGATCATATAGAGCAGATAAAAAACATGATCCATCAGGTGATTCTCTTCCTATCATTCTTTCTTTGTCTTTCTAAAAATAAAATAGCAATCTAAGATATCATATTACTTTGTGTGTTGAAGCTAATGTGCCAGAATTGTGGTAAAAATGTTCGCAGCAGTGGTAGAATTAATTTTCAGTAATCTTGGTCAAGCTATGTGCTATTTAGTCAGGTTAAAGACTTGATATTTTATACAAAGTTGTAGATCTAACTATATGCTATTTGAAGTTTAAAAGGATGGATTTGCTGCTGGAACTTAAATGATACATTAGATTATTTGCAGCCTTCTATTCCCCTGTTTTCACTCTATTTTTTGCAGGTTTTTTAATTATGTTCCTTTTGCTTTGAACTAAATTGTTCTCGAGTTCTGGACTTAAATTTAGATGAATCAATCGCCAATGTCAGACATGTAGTATTAGTGATGCCTTGATTATTGTATACTGATTGTTTAACGAATGACTGGTTTACATATTCTGACAATGGAAACAACAGCAAAGAAAGGAAATATAAATTATATAATGTCTTGCTTGTGATATGACATTATATATATAAATGCATGTAGTATATGTATATATATGCTTGGACTTAATTGATTGTCATGGTTGTGCAAGTTTATATTTTTAACTGTGTCTACAAATGCATTTATTGTTTGAATTCCTTTCCAATTAAGCAGAAATTGCTTTAGGCTTCATTATTGTATGTAAACCAACTGAAATACACAGGATGTCAATATATTTGAAATAAGAGCACTGTCAGCTGAACAAAATCCTTTTTTTAACTGTATAAATCTGCTAAATCTATAAACCTTAGTAACTTTCTTGTTCATTCTCAAATCATTGTAATTTGATGCAAAACCATAACACTACAAGATAAACTTGAAAAACCCTCATCTGAGACTACTCGGTCCAAGGCAGAATGATACTCATTGACGATCATTATTAGCAGACTTCTGTTCTTGGGAGGGGTTGGTCTTCTGTTGTTTGGAGGGTTTTGGATTAGGATCAACACTCACTCCTACCTTAGTTTCTTCTTCTTCTTCTTCTTCCTCTTCCTCTTCTTGGTTGGCGTGGTTCTTTAGGATGCCAAGTTGATAATCTGGGCTGATTAATGTGTCCTGTATCTCCTGATCAGGCGGAAGTGGGATTCCATGCTTAGGTGGCTTTGGCAATGGGATCCTGTTTTATCTCTGAGCCGACTGTAGCATGACCCGAAATGATTGGTTGCTTGGATATGTTTGTACATTTTATATCAAATAATATCCAAGAATTCAAACATACAATATGAAAACACATCCACAAAGTGTATCTAATCTAAAACATCAAGTCTTATAACTGAAGAACAGTTATGCTGGTGGAAACTAGTATAAAACATTCAAATAATTTGTACAGATCCAGAAACTTTTAAGAATTATCGTAGTGAAATTACCTCTCTAGGTGGGGGCTGGGAGAAACTGGATTTGGCTTTAGACTGAATAGCAAGATTGAGATCATCTGATATTCTTGTAAATACCTGACAAATATTTGTATAGAACAGCTTTATGGCTCTGGTGCGAGTAACAGTGACTAATTGAATTCAACAAAGAGCAAAAAGTTTGATTATACTGATACTATTGTTTATGCAGCTCTTCTTCCAGTTTGGTTTTCCTGTTTTAAATTATGAATATCCGTCAATGACTTGTCAGGTATGGATGGAGTTAGCTCCACCACATCCCCAATTTTAACCTTGCAGGTGGGATCACTCACAGGTTCATGATTCAGCCTAGCTCTCAGTTATTCCTTCAAAGAAAATCCATAACGTGTCCATCTAGAGCTTCCATGACCAACTCTTTCCAATAGGTCCAGCATTCGCTGGGAACTCCTCCACTGACATCTGCAGCACCCAATTGCATGTATATTAAGGTATATATATAGTGAAGCACAGGAAATTTCAATATACCACCATGCTGACTCTTTCTAATTTATTCTTTAAACTATTATTGACACTGAGAAGAAAAGGCACAAAGGACTTGAGCAAAATGCACGTCTTAACACAACCAAATGACGCGTGATGCACACTGGATCGAGTTATATTAAGTTAAACTCACCTTCTTGAGAGGCATTGAGACGATGAAACAGTGACTAAATTAGGTCCCTCGACCTATATGCTCAATTGGATGGTTTTTATATACCAGTGTCTTTTAATTCGGCCTACTGTTGCTGCCTTAACTTGAACAAAATAGAGCGAGCATTTATGACCTGAATGTCTTAGTTACATTCTTAATATCAGATTTATGCCTTCTTGTCGTTGATTATTATTATTATTATATTTTTAATTTAATTTAATTTTTTTTTTTTTAAAGGATTTGTGTTGTAGGATAGGATTAATAGAAAACATGCATGTCATGGATAAAAATAGGAGTACGATGATATTTGTTCTTCGCTTGTGGTAGACATGCCAGTGCCTGAGTGGGTCTTGCTTTTATTTTTGGGGTTTCTTGCAGATTATTAAAAATGAATTTGCATACACATTTGATGGGAATGTATACTTCAAAGTTGATAAATCCCCGAATTATGGCCAATTATCTGGAAATAAAAAGGAAGATACCAGGGTTGGTGAACCTGGTCCAGGAAAGAGAGATCCTGCTGACTTTGCGCTATGGAAGGTGAAGTAAACCTTCACAAATTGTCTAATGTTTATACCGATTCATATCTTTATAATTTTAACAAAAAATTCAACTTCTTGCAGGCTGCAAAACCTGGTGAAATAAGTTGGCATACTGATTGGGGTGAGGGAAGACCAGGATGGCATATTGAATGCAGTGCCATGAGTTACCATTATCTGACCTCCAAATTTGATATTCATGGAGGTGGATCGGTTTTGATTTTCCCACATCATGAAAATGAGGTTGCCCAGAGCTCGGCTTTCTGTGCAGATAGCGATGTGGGTTATTGGATGCATAATGGAACTGTCAATATAAATGGCAGAAAAATGTCAAAATCAGAAGGGAATTATGTCACGATTCGTGAGGTATTTGAGGTTTTTCCGCTGTTCTGGGACATAGATTTGCTTTCATCTTCTTAATGCTATCTATTTATGTTTCTACTATTTTCTTGTAGGCTACCAATGTGTTCCATCCACTAGCTTTGAGATAATATTTGATGAGCACGCATTACCGGTCTCCCTTCAATTACATGACCTTGCAGCTCACTATATCATCAGAGGCTGTTTTTCATATATATCAGGTAAAACTCATAGATAACTAAAAGCATTTTTGTTGGATAGGTACTGATTTGCTGGCAAGCCATGTCAAGAAAAAAAAAAAAATGGCTTCTAAATTAGTCAATTTGATGCAATGGTACAATAAATTTAGCTGTGTCCTCCAACACAGTCAAGGGGATTGCATATGTAGATGTATGTTACTGGGTGTCTTCTTCAGCTGGATGTTAGGCTAACTACTGCTTGATAAATTCCCTGGTGGAACTGCTAAAACCTTTATTTTCTGATGGATATATCTGTTATTCGTTTCTCTGGATTTTTTTCCCCTCTCCTGAAGATTTTGTCTTTGAAAAAATCGCTGACACTTTTAAAACACAGACTGGGTTGGTGGTGTTATAGGTGTAAAAAATTTCACCAAATTTTCCAGGTCACTTGTGTATTAAAAAATCAGATCACAAAATAGTGACTAGTTTGGAACCTTAATGCACGGATATAAATGACAATTTAATGTAAATCTGAATCTTTTCCTTCATTGTTATGCTGATATGCCGCATATTATCTTATATTTTATGTCTTGAATTAGTGTATCCCCAATAAACACATTAAAACAGAGTAAAAAGCTACAAACATGTTTAATCTGTCAAACTTGTTTGTGATAATTTTCGATTGGTTGTGGTTCCTAGACTTTGCAAGATTGCGAAGACGTTCTTGCTAAATATAGAGGTCACAAAGAGGAAACAGAGCCAAAACCGCAAATTACTTTTGATGCTCAAGATTGCCTAAATAAATTGAGGCGTGATTTCCAGTTTTATATGTCCGACGACTTGCACGCTCCAGAAGTATTGAATGCTGTCCTTCAAGATGCATTGAGGTTCATAAACCGTTACCTGAACTTGCCTAAGGTATGTATCCGAATTTGCTCTAACATGCCACATTACATTTGGGTCTGTGTTTGTGAAGGAAATCATGTAGTATATGTTTCTTTGTAATAATTGCAGAAGCAACAGAGGCAGAAAGAATTATCTCATATCCAGTCCCTTATTGAAGTAAGAGATGAAGTTGAGAAAGTGCTGCAAGTGTTGGGATTGTTCTCCCCATCAATGACTTACTCTCAGGTACTAAAATTATCCATTATTTTGTATTTTTGTGCATATGTATTGTCTGTATTTGTATATCTTCTCTTGAATTGATTTCATCACAAAAAATGGTAAAAATTTCCATGGGACAGGTTCTGCAGGAGTTTAAAGAAAAGGCATTGAAGGGAGCCAACTTGACCGAAGAGAAAGTGCTGCATCAAATTGAAGAGCGAGCTACTGCAAGGAAAAACAAAGATTACTAGAGGGCTGATCAGATCAGGGGAAGTTTGGCTGCCAAGGGCATTGGTCTGATGGATGAAGGCAAGTTAACAATTTGGCGACCGTGCCTGATGGACCAAGAAAATCTTTCCCAACTCGTACGAATTCATTTTCCTTTGCTACATGAAGGCTAGATTTGAATAACTTTTTATCATGATATAAAAGAGTAGTGATGATGTCTCAATTGGTTGATTTATAAGATTTGTGAAGAAATTTTTAGACACCTGATTTTTTTTTTTTTTTTTTTTTTCAATCTATATCACTGGTCTTAAAATAGTTATCTACACTTTTGTTGAAATGGAGAGAGAGAGCATTGCTGCCTTTCTCTATATGTCTCCTAAGTCTAATGGCAAAAAACAGAAATGCAGAGAGACTCACTACAATCTGTTTTGCAAAGGGTTGGTTCTATATTCAACAATTACAGTTTGTGAGAGTAAACAAAGTGGCAGCACTCTTTAGGTCATGATCTTGAACATGTTGGATGGACTCATTCTCTTCTTTTAATATGGCCTTGTCGTCTCTTAATATGGACTCTTCACTGCAATGTCAAGTTAATTCCCAGTTATTAGTAAATACAGAAACGAATTTTGGAACATAAATATAAAATATTATTCAAATGTGATTGGCTAATTCTTGGCACTTCTAGTTCGGATTAAAGAGAATCACAAGAACGCGAGCCAAATCAAAATTGGATTACCATATTGTTGTGTTTGGGAGCAGCTAAACAACACAAGTCCGAACTACTGGTCTGGTACTCCCAAAAACAGCTTGAATGAAGATCTAAACTAGGTGAGGTTTAAAATTCTTCAAAGCACATGCAATGAATTACAGGCAAAGCTCAACTTGAGGAAAAGATTAAAAAGAATAGCAATTCTATACTTTTGACCAACACCGGCCTGCAACTCCTTAACATTTTTTTATTTTTATTTTTATTATTGTGTGCACATAAATTGTAACTCATGTAAAAATAATATGTTATTTATACATATATATATATATACATAAAATGTATATACATGCACACTGCGCGCGCGCACACAAACGTAATAAATAATATCTGATTATGTAGTCTCTTGCATCGGAAGGTCAAAATTAATAGATCAAGAAACCACTTAATTTTTCCATTTTCATCTTTCTTAAAAATGTATGTCGCATTATCAATCACTTCGGAAAATTGTTTCCATTTCAACAGAAATTGGTTTTAATTTTTGCAAAGACATCACATAATTATTTCCCTAATGTAATAATAAAAATTATTCCTTTGTTCAAATTCCAATTAATTAATTGCCTTATCTCAAACAAATTAACATGAAAGACACAAATTAGTTAACCTCTTCCCGAGTGTTTCTTCACCCTCAAAATTGAGCTCATGATGTCTCTCTTCCGCTACATCAAGAGGCAACTTCACATCAATGCATTCCTTAACAAAAGATTGCTTCTCCTGCAAGCAAGCCCATGGTACGTGATTATTAAACTGCATAACATAATGTTGTTGTTGTTCTTGCTGTGGTTGAAGCTGATGATAACCCATCAGATTATACGAGCTCAACGTATCCACATTTATAACATCACAATTCAACGCCGAATCTGTGAAATCCGGCAGAGTGGCAGTCTGTTGATGATGAGCTTGAGCTCGGTGTATGGCGAGCTGATGAAGAACAATCTCTAACTCGGCCTCACAATAATCGATCTGACGCTGCAATTCACGTATGATTCTGTAACAGCCACCAACAGGATCACTGGCTCGAACGTCGGATTGGAAGATAATGGTTCTCATGGCCTCGTCCTTGTCGGGTTGTCGGAGGTTTCGGATGATCTTGGTGATGTTACTGACTCCAAACAATTTATGGGCATTGAGGAACTGTCGTTGGCGATCGTGAGGAAAATAAGGGGCGAGAATGCAGTCGGGTGCGCACTTCCTGCGCTGGTATTTACAGGCAGCGCAGGCTTGGGTGCCGTTGCCCCTTGGAATGCTCATGTTTATGGGTTTTTTTTCGGCTGGGTTTCAGGCGGAGATGGTGATTTTTTTTTTGCTTGATGAGGTTAGGCTTTGTTTTCTGGTGTTTTCTCCTTTCTTTTCTCGTTCGGAAGAAAATGAAGGAGGGAATGGGAGATGGGGAGAGATGGGAGGAAGGACAGGCAGGATTTAAGAGAGAGAAGTTGTAGAGAGAGAAGACAGATCTTAACTAATTTTGGTTGTGCTATGAACGATATTCAAGCCTATGGAACAGGAGTCTGGTAAATATTGGGATAATCTCTAGTACACAATGAGTATTTAACTATTTATCTAACCAAAAAAAAAAAAAAAATGGAATCATAAAAATATAGTGAGAAAAAAAAAATCATGAAAATTAACTTAGCAAAATTCATAAGCTTGATATGATACACTAGCACAAATTTGTTGATAATTTAATTTTTATATTTTTTTTGCCAATGTTTTGATGTGATTATGGAGAATTTAAGATTTGATTTAAGTGATTATTTGACAATTTGTTTTCTATGCATACTCTAATTGGTCAAATTTCATTCCAACTATTATTTTTTATCCCTTTTTAGTGGATGAAAGATAATATATACAAAGTAATGCTACGGAGTGCTCTTAATGGCGAGTTCATATCTTAATTTGTTGGAGCAATCAAGTATGTGACCAAATTCATATCTCTCTAATTCGTTGAATCGAGCATGTAACATGGGTTCGATTAAAGGTGTGACAATGGCTAATCTTCACGGCTAAAGGTGTCACATATTCAATCCGATCAATTTATGAATGCACGAGCTTACGTGAAAACACCCTCTATGGTAATATATTTTATGTAAATATAATAGTATATGTAAGTCAACTGTTTACACCATTCGATTTAGAGTACTTTTAGGAGGAAGTGGTACCAAAATAAAAATTTGGATACCAGGTGTTCTTGATTTACTCAGCTCATTACACAAACTGCTACAAGACATTTAAATGAAAATCTTGAACAATTAAACCTATGGATTCATTAAGTTATGATATTCAAAAGGGTAAAGTGCAAAAAACCCCCTTCAACTATTGGCCATGTGCAATTAACCCCCCTGAACTACAATTTGCCTCCTTGAACTATTAAATTTGGTGCAATTGACCCCCAATGTGACATCTCCGGCCAATTGGTGTAAACGGAAATAGTAAAAGACAATTTTACCCCTGTATAAAGCCACGTCGTTTCAGAAAATTTTAGCAACCACCAGCTAAAAAAAATAAATTCTAAAAAAAAAGAGAAAAAAATCAGGCCATCGCCGTGAGTCAACCATGGCTGAACCAGCCCATCACTGTTCAGCCCACCATTCGAGCTCGTCCCCACTACCGTCTCTTCATCCGCAAGCTCACAGCCGAAGTCGCAACCAGCTCATCGCCGTTCAACCGTAACTAGCCCATCGCCGCGAGTCAACCATGGCCGAACCAGCCCATCGCCGTTCAGCCCACCTTGCTCGTCGATCCTCTCCACCATCCGAGCTTTATCCCTGTAGTCGTCGCTTCATCTGAGTGCCGCCGAGTCATCCACGGCCTAGCCATCGCTGAACCAACCCGCCAATCTCACTGTTGCATTTCGCCGCTGCCGCCACTTCACTGCCGGTCCATTCCTCGCCAGAGTCACCATCGCCGTCCGGCCCCCCACCGGACGAATCACTATTCCTCCCGATCAACCAAAGCACACAAACAGAGACACAAAATTATACAATCATCAGTTTGTGCATATATATGTATATAGAATTACAGAAACGATATAGAGAGAGAAAGAGGAGAGGAGAGAGAGAGTGCGAATAAATTGAGGAAAATAAACCCTTATCCTCTTAAGCGAATTCTGAGTTGTGATATTTGTGGTCATCGGAGTCCAAGCTTGTGCACCTCACGGCCAAGAGTCAGCCGTCTACACTACCTGCCTTCATTGGCTCCGCGCCGACCAAGAGCTCATCACACAGCCGCCAGATCTATTCTCACAGCTCTTTTCTTGTCTCCTCCAGATCCGCCGCGAGCTCGATCCACCATAGCCGGATCTATTCTCATCGGCTTTTCACTGCCATCAACATCCTCAAGCTTGCCGCGTTGCAAATCTAAGTCCAAGACCCAGATCTATCTCGCCGGTCATTTCGATCCTCACAGCCGGATCTGTCTCACAGGCCATTTTCATCCTCGAAGGTGTAGTTGTGGGAACGGACGGGACGGTGGTGATGGTATCGTCTGTTTTATTGACGATGAACAGTGTGTATTTAGTATAAGGGCGTGTTTGGGTGTTTTAAGTGGTTTTGGGTGTAAAGGTAAAGGGTTGTATGGTCATTTAAAGAAATTTGGTTTGTCACGTGACACATCACGTGCGTCTTCACGGCCAAAGTCAACCGGCTTATCACCGGAGGGGGTTAATTACACTAAATTGATTAGTTCAAAGGGGTTATATGTCAAATTAGTAGATCAGGGGGGTTAATTGCACATGGCCAATAGTTGAAGGGGGGTTTTTTGCACTTTACCCTATTCAAAAGGACAAAACTTGACACAAATTAGTCACCATCTGGGGGAAATATAAATGACATAAAGAACCATCCAAAGAGTGGGAGGGAGTCTCCATATCCAAAGGGTCATCAACGAAAATGATGCTAAAATACTTCATTTCAACAAAAAATAATGACAATGATGGTCCAAGCTGCTTCACAACCCTTTAGCTTTACATTTATCCATTTAACATAATTAAAAAAAAAAAGATGTACCATCTTGGGGAATTTTATCAGAATGTAATTCCGGCAAAGCGAAGTTCACAAGAGTTAGACTGAGACTGCTGCTACAATTGGTACCAACAAGAAGAAGTTGGTCTTCAGAAGATGCTGCATTGTCTCTTCCAAGTGATACCTTCCTCCATATCGCTTATGCGACAATCTGCAAAAATAGAAATGAATGAATCATGGACAATCTTCAATCTAGAGATATGAGACTAAAAGAAACATCAAGTGTTTTAAAAGTGGCTATGCACAATGACCCATTTAAAGCAACACACTGTAACAGTAATTCTAACTGCAGTGCAGTGCACCACATACTGGCTTAAGAAAAGTACCTTAAAGACTCACTCGATTACAGTTCTAAAAAAGTCATCTAAAACATCAAATGATGGATAATCTTTTGCACTGTCAATCTAAAACTGCACCCATTCAAAGAAGAGAAACCACAAATTGGCTTCAACATTTTTTTAAGCATTCCAGAGACTCTTGATTGAAGTGATCAAACCAACCAGAAGTTTTCATGAGAGAAGCTAAAAGTCAAAAGTATATTTTGAATATGGTAATTAACTTTTAAGCCAAAGAGCACAACTGACATAAAGAGTAAAAAATAAATTACATCCTTAAAAAATTTTCGTTCAATGTCTACATCAGCAAAATTCCTAAGTTGATAATTTCGCAACAAGAGTGACTCTAGAGTACCTTAATAGCCCCTCTAGACCCAAAGGTTTTGGAAGCTCTCTCTCTCCCTCCCTTATTTTTTCTTAATAAATTTTGTTTCAGCAAATAAAGAGAAGCCTAGAATACAAAGAGTCTGAAGTGTGCCTTTATTCCCAATGTAAAAAGAGGATGTCAGATGATACATAAAGAAAGAGATCCAAACCACAATAATTTCCATATATGAATTGGAATCATAAAATCGGAATCAGGAATTGATGTCAATTTGCCAACTAGTTGGGATTAGTCATTACTCATGAGGAAGCAGAACCAAATCGAGATGATACACGGATTTGATTTCACTTGACTGTCTACAGCTCCATTGCGTGTGCTCGGGTATAAATGTATTGCCATGCTATATAGATTTATAAATGCAGTAGACTCATAGTGTGGGCTAATTCATGAATTGAATCAAATGGGCCCTTTTACAATATTCAATATTTTTATAATGGCATAACTAGTCATAAGTACTCCAGAAACTGTTGATTGAAGTGGTCAAACCAACCAGAAGTTCTCACGAGAGAAGCGAATTTCAAGTAAAGTATATCTTGAATATGTTAATTACCTTTTAAGCCAGAGCACAACTGAAATATTTACTACAAAATAAATTAGATCCTTAAAATATATTTTTGGATGTCTAAATCTGCAATCTGCAATCTGCAAACTCCTAAGTTGATAATTTCGCAAAGAGCACAACTGACATTTTTTGTACAAAATAAATTAGATCCTTAAAAAACTATTTTTAGATGTTTAAATCTGCAAATTCCTAAGTTGATAATTTCACAACAAGAGCGACTCTAGAGTACCTTATGCCCCTCTAGCACCAAAGCTTTTGGCAGTAGAAAGCTTTTGTTCCTGAAGCGCTCTCTCTCTCTCTCCTCTTATTTTTCTCAGATAAAGAGAAATATAGAATACAGAGAGCATTTATTCCCAATCTAAAAAGAGGACGTCGGAAGATACATGAAGAAACATATTCAAACTCCAATAACTTCCACATAAGAGACGTTAGGAATTGGAATCAGAAAATGGAAGTATGAACCTTAAGACAGGCATTCAACAATATCTATGTCAATATGCCAACTAGTTGGGATTAGCCATATTTGGCTCTTTTTATGTGCTTCAGAAAATAATTGAAACAACCTATGATTTGAGATTATATTATACTGAAAATGCAAGAAAAATACAGAATAAAACTGTCCAGAAAAGCACAAATTAAAATTCATTTGCTAAAAAATACACAGAATAAGGGGAAAACACCCGAAAAGGAAGCAAACATCCCAGTTTTGGCCCATTATGCTCTTCTTCAATCTATGAGACTACTTAACAACACTCTTCGAACTTCATACATTGTTTACTTGAGTCAAAGGAGATATTCTTACCCAGCTTAGAAAGGTGACAAGCTGTTATGGCTCAGACTTGATAAGGTCTTCAACAGAGTTTCGATAATTGGCAATCAATTCCCTGAAATCATACAATAATGATGCACAGATTCAGCAAGACAAGCACTTAACATGAACAACACATCTTAAGCTACATGCTACAGACCTCCTTTGATTTAGTAATTGTTCGCTTTCCTCCAGCTTGCGCTTTTGTCCTTCCACTGTCTATAAGCAATATGTAGAAAGACCACAAATTATTCTAAGAACACTAAGAATTCTCAACAACCAATGAATTATTTATCAGAACACAAAGAACTAATTAAATGCAAATGCGATTATCAAATGAAATAATGGAAACCAATGCTTCATTTGGCCTGAAGGGATTAAACAAAGGGGAAAAAAAATAATAATAAAAAATCAAATTTTGGATGTTCTATAGATATCCAAGTCTTCCAAGGAAAAGAAGAAAGAAAACCACTAAACTAGGCCTAACATATTAAGTTGGCTGGTTCGAGCAAATTTTTTGTTGTAGTAAAAAATTACAAGGTCATGCAAATCAAAAATTGACCGACACACCATCTAGTACGGTGATAGTTCCAGATTCTTTGTTGCTCTTATTTTGGATTAACTACACCACTCCAGTTTTATGTAAACAAGTAGTGAAACCAATCAACTTTCATGGGCATCCGAATGCGTCACGAATTCAAATGCAATAACTAAATTATGAAGCGTGTGCTATGATGCTCGTTTACTGTTCGATTACCATTTAAAACAAAATGACTATCTCCAATAAGACAGTGTTTTTCTAAAGAACATAATTTTCTAGTAAGAAAAAACCCAAATCAACTTACACTCCAATAATAAGAAATTCAGTAATATAACAGGGATGAGCAGGCAGTAATTTACCATGGCTTTCGTGTTGATTGATTCTGATATCGAGTTTAACAGTTGCTGGCACTTCTCAAAGTGATTGTTCAATTCATTTATCTTTCAAAACAACGAATAAACAAATAAATACAAATATCAATAAAACCCAATTCAAATCGCAACCTCATAAGCAATAATTTGTTAATCAAACAAAAATTACAATATGTATATATGTCTATACACACATACATACAAATATATATTATTAATTAAGATTATTGAAACTGAAAATACAAACCAATGCATCAGATTGTGGATCACGAGTCCCATTTTCGATGGTGTCCCCTAAATTCTCCACCAACTGTAACATCGTCAAAAACTTAAAACCGCAAAAAAAAAGATTAAAACAACAAAGAATTATAGGAAAATAAGGTTACTCACAACAAAAATAGGGGTAGGGTTAGGTTTAGTGTTAGTGTTATGGTTTCAATTACATACATGGAGGAGATGGAAGTGAGAAGCAAGTGATTGGTGGTGATGGTGTTGCTGCTGCGGCTGTTGTGGCTGCTGCGGAAAACGCTGTTGCTGCTGCTGTTGTTGATAGTGCAATTGTTGCTGTTGTGGTTGTTGCTGAAATTGCTGTTGTTGATGATGAAACTGCTGTTGTGGTTGGAGATACAGATGGTCCTGACTTGAAGGTGTAGTGGGATTACTGTGGGTCGGGATGTTGGGAATCATCGACCAGCTTCCTCCTCCGTACGAGTGATCCATTAGGCCCTCCTCGCTGAAACTCGCCACAGAAATCTATGCTAACGTTCGCAGCGAGGCGCAGGTTACGCCCTAATGGCACAGAGTCACACTGGGGGAGAGAGAAAAGCTATGAAAGAGAGTTTTACCGTGATCTGTAGCTTACAGCCGTTGATTGTTAATGTCGAGTTTTGAGTCAATTTTTTCGACTATTTTTGTAATCCTACGGTCAGTATAGGGAGTTCATATTCCTTATTATGGACTCGCTCTCTTCTTAGTATTTTTTTTGAGATTACATATGAATCATATGATGATTTGAAACGGTGTCGTTGTGCTCGTAAGTACCCATTTGCAGTGATCACTGACCACCATTCAACTTTGACATTTGCAGACCTAATTTCTAGCTCCGGGCAAGAGGGAAAAAGGGTGAGCCCTTGCTTTAACATTTCTCTCTCTACATCTTTCTCTCTCTACATATATATGAACATGATCTTCGTTATGAGAAGAAGATAACAGATTCTATATATAACTAGATGTATTTGTATAAACATTATCTTAGCTGACACATCGAGCTCTTCTTTTTGAGGTTTAGGTTCGATTTCTACTTTTTTTTTCTTGTTCAATTTGAGTAAAGTTCATTTCTTTATTATTGAGGACATGTTGTTTATGAATTTATCGATGTTTTACGAATTAATTAGGGTTTTTTTGTTCTTGAATCTAATTACTGTTGGAATTAGTACGGATAGATTGTATTGAATTGTGATAATGTGTTTTGGAAGAGAGTGAAGGATATAATGTGGTTTATCAATAATGCATTGAAATCTAAATCAGTTTTGCCTGCTCTGTTTATATTTGTTTACCAGAGTCTTATTTCTGTTGCTTGGAATTTACTTTCCTACAATGTTAAAAAAAAAAAAAAAAAAAAATTGAAAAGAAATTCTGAGTATTGGATTCAAGCCAAATAAGACCTTCCCAGATATCATGGGACACTTTATTCTCAGATTTATGTGGCAGGGAAAGGAAAATGTTGGAAATGACTTCATTTCGTTTTTATATTTTCCTTCACTTCTCATCATTCTTTCCAAGAACCAAATTGGACCCTAGAAGGCTATAGATGTGTGGTTATGGAAGCGTGTGCGTCACTGTCATTGGTACCATTATGGTGGCAGTTACCAATTTAAAACCTTGGTAATACCCTAATTTGGATACTTTGTATGTGTTTGCATGCATGCACTCCATTGGTTTTAAGTCCTCACTCTACTTTTTGTTCAACTTACTCATCAAGTTGAATGAGATGTTTTGGAACATTATATTAGGGTGTTTGTGTTGTAACGAATAATTTTTTTTGTTCTATGAATTATGAAGGTGCGTGAACAAATTTTTAATGGATCTGTTTACATTTTCCAAACAATACTCTTTCGTTAATAAAACATAAAATGTCACTGCTACGAGAAAAGTTCATCTTGGAGGTTATTTACAATAATCTGCAAATTCCAGTTTTGAATAATTTTAGAGCTTAAATGCCTCGCATGATGGTAGGATGTATGAGTATTGTGTCTTCATTTTACATTGAAGTCCACTTAAATGCTCAAAGTTCTGAGTATATTGTATTACATCTTTCAATTATTGAACTTGTAATATACACCTTTTACACAAGTATCAGTCAGAGAGATATAGTTGTATGTGTCTCATTGTAGTATTAATTTAGTCCACCTATTCGAGATATGTTAAGCCATTCCTTTAGCTTTGATAGTTGTGCTGCACTCACAAGTACTTAAATTTGGCAAGAACTTAATTAATGAAAATTAGGAACCACAAAGGTGAACTTGGATGATTCTTAGGTCTTGCCGTTATGCTTTGTGTATGAATTACTCATTTATTTATTTATTTTTATTTTGCTTTTTTTTGCCTTCTCATACAGCTCGGTCAAATGAAAGGAAGGAACTATTCCACTACTTATACATGTTAGCAAGGGGATGAAGTCAAGGGCTAGCTCTAAGTATGACACTTATCAGTGAGGCAATGCATAATTAGACTTGACCACTGAGCATGCATCGATCAGTCCCTCTAATTATAACAAAGACATTAAGTGCAGATGTTTTGTATGTTCATGTAGGAAACTGAAAGAAGTAGATTGCAATACTTTTGTGAAGAAGTTTGCTAGGGCAGTGGAAGATTTAGCTGTGATTGAATTGGGGGACGTCATCATTAAAAACCTAGGTAGATCTGCAGCAGTGCAAATAATGATGTCCCACATTGGATGCTGGTATTTAGCTGTTGGTTTGGTTAGCCTTTCAAAGGTTTTGTGAAGAAAGTGAAAGAGTTCGTTAGGAAGGAATTGAAAAGGATAAAAAAGAGGAAGGGCTAAGTTATGGCGAAAAGGATTTCTAAGGATTTGCAAATCCATTGTCCCATAGGTTATTATTATGAAGGGATGCATAAGTTAAAGACTGGAAATGGAAGGGGAGGCTAGGATGGTTAGTGTTGCCCAAACGATGACGGTTCAATTGGGCTTTTGGCAAATGATAGGAAAATTTTCGATTGACTACATTTTAATGAAATTTCAACAAATGTTTATGCAATCAAATAATAAACAAGCTGAAGATAAAAATAGAGGGTAGAGATGCAAACACAAAGAACACTGAATTGTAACGTGGTTCGGCACCATGGCCACGCCTCAAGAGCACCTCTCAAGGATTCCAAATCCACTATACCACTCTCCTTCACGGGTGGAGAGGAAACCTTTACAAAGCCTTTTCTCTCTTTGCCAAGTCTTAAACTTCAACGGTTACACCAACCCTTTTACATCAATCTCAAAGATGGACAAAGATTTGAGTACAACAATGAATATCCCTCAATGGATAGATATACAATTCAAAGCTCACTTTAGAGTAATAGATGAAGTAAGTTACTAAGTGTTGAAGCTCAACTCTAGACCAAGAAGGTGTGAATGCTCAATAAGATTTTCAATAAGTAATATGGTAAAGCACATAAAGGATTTGGTAAAGTGAGCTAGGGACCTTCAATTTATAGCCTTTTTGGGAAATGCATCTGTTATAGGCTTATAGCATTTAAAGACTTGTTTGGTTCTACGTTTTACGAAAGTCGGTGTTCATATAGACATCTTTATGATTTTTTATAGACATATATGTGTGCTTTTCGCTTTTTGGATAGACGCCTATAAGAAATGAACCCAAAAATACCTTCGCTGGATAGACATTTGTGAATCGATGTATAGACATCTATAGGAATTTTTTAGAAAAATTCTCACTTACAAATACATGATTAAATCACAAAGATGTAGATGTCTGTAAGAGCCATATGGATTTTTGTGAGCCCTTAGTAAACAAAAATTCATTTCCATTTAGGCATATAGATGTTTATCTAAGCCATATAGACATCTAAGTCCCTTCTAAATTTAAATTTGAACTTTCTAGGGTCCAAAGTGACTTCCATCAAGTTAATTGACTGTTTGCCCTTATAGAGTGAATCATCCAAGTCAAAGCATTTAAGTCAATTATTTTGGAGACCTTAAGATGATGGCATGACTCATTTTGAGATCTAGACTTGAGCTTTCAAATCAAATGCAACAAAAATTACTTTACAAAAAGCCTAGCTCTCACCAAGGTGCTGCTGTTAGGTGAAGGAAATATTGGTACTGTGATTTTGCAGAAATTATTAACACCACACCCCCCCCACCCACCCACCCCCCACGGGGGTGCCCGCCCACACGAAAAAAGAAGAAAGCAACCAAAAAAGTATAAATTAAATGATAAAGACTCTGCAGAAACTAACACGAAAAATTCTTGTGATTGTTTGTGGGAAGGATGATGCTGTGGTTTGTCACTGGTCCTGATACCTGCTCAAGTAACGTTAGAGGGAATTCTAATGATGCAGGATATAGACTTGTGTTTAACACTGATATGTTAACTCCTGAATTTTCATCGTCTATCCAGTTCGAAACAGGTTAACCCTTTGGAAAGGTGAAATTGGAAATGAAAAATTCTCTTCTCTCCAGGTAGGACCTGGAGTTGGTGGACGTTTGTCCATGGGATTACCGACAAGTGATTGATTTTATCCAGTATTATAAAATTTGGAAATATATTTTTATTTTGCAAGAAACCAGATTGATTTGGTCTTGAAAAGTGCCACTTGGGAAGCACAATGTTGAAATTCTGTTGTTGGACCTTTTGCAAGCTCGGGGAACATAATGGGGTATTTAATTGTTAGACAATAGGAGCGTTATAGGCTATAGCAAACTTTGCTTTGGTGATTTCTGAATTGTCGATATCTATCTAGACTATCTAGTTCTAGAGTCGAGTCTGATCAACCACTAGTGCACTGCTTATTAGGAATTTAGATGTACCTAGGAAGATAGAACAAAAGAAAAGAGTAACAAAAATTGTGTTCATTGAAATGGTAAATCTGCAATGCCATGTTTTCCAAACGACTGATCATAGATGAACGTAAATAGAATATACTACCTTGTAGAGGAGATGATTTAAAGAAGCACTATCAATAAGAGTCATGACATAATATAATCCAAATTTATCATGGTAAACTAATCTATTGTGATTAAAAAGACTTGGCATTAAGAAGGTGAATTTAGGCTTTAAAAGTCCTCCTTTGTGTAAGACCTGGCATTGGTGTTTCAGACACTCTTCTGTCAAAAGATCATTTTGCAAGGAAAAGTAACTGGTTGAGTCAATTCTAAGTTGGTGGAGTGTTTCAGACTCCCTTGTGTTGAAAGATCATTTTGCGAGGACAAATAACTGGTTGTGTCAATTCTGAGTTGGTGGAACCTCTTCTTTTAAGACACTTATTTTACAAAGACAAATTGTTGGATTGTGGCAATTCTAATATTTATTTTTATTTTTATTTTTTATTTTCTTGTTTGTGTGTGTGTTCCTTTTGTCAATACTATTCCTTCTTTATGCGTTCGGGTAAATATTTAACCCTTGAGAAGGTTGAGAGCCTTAGAATTGAGCTGCTTTGACATTGTTTTCTTAATGATGAAATCATTCTCTCTGACTCATCAAAAAACAAATTATATGATGATATCATTCTCTCTGTCGAAACTGGTGAGTTATCTTGTTGCTTGGCAGCTTTGACCTTTTCTTTTGGGCCTAGGCAAGAAAATTAGCTGTGGAAAACTTTTTAAAATATGAACTAATTTGATCATCATTCACTTGATTGGTTTTGGCTCATGAGGTTTTCTGTCACGACTTTTTTATAACCCATTTATTATGACCAAATATCTGTTTGTTATTTGGTGTGTAAGACATAGCCTTCCAGTTCTGATACAAGTACAGTGGATTGCAGGTACATTAAGATATGACGATAAAACCAACAGTTGCTTTTAGGGCAATTTTTGTAGGAGGTGTAGCCGCATTTGCGAAAATTGCTGGTGCAGTGAAGGCCGCAGGTGGTGCAAAGGTGGGTGCAGCAGCGGCGGCAATGACAGCCGCGGCAAGTGCAGCCATGTCAGGATCAAATAACGAACCAAAGGAGGCTTCGAAGCAGTCTTTGAAGTGACTCTTTTACAGATTTAGGAATGAATTATGAAAATGTACCAGAGCTGCAGTTTGCTGTGAGCTTGCTGGTAATTCTTTAGCTTTGCTGAATTGTGAACTTGATTGTAGTAGTATGTATAAAACGGTTCCAAATAAAAGCCGTAGTTCAGTAGATATCTGAAGCTGAAAGTGTCCTAAGTGACCTCGGGATAAAAATGGTTGGGCGTCGTAGCCAACTGTGGTAAAATAGTTGTGTCAATGTTGTAATGCCTGATGATTTTGAGCGCCAAGGAAAAGATGTTATAGTTGATTTTGTCGAGGCTTTTGTATCACTTTGGCACTTATAAACAACTGCAATACAGAATTTTAGTTGATTATGATTTGCCTTGCTAGTTGTTGCTGTTTCATTGGTAACGGTTGCAGCAGGTCAATGAAGTCATGCCCTTCTATTAGCAATTTAGGCATCATTCTAATCAAGAACAGAGCAAAATAGAAGTAATTTACAAAAAAAACTATGCATTTTTCAAAGTTGGAAGAACCCTGCTTAATTGTGGCATCTCCTAAATTGGATGGCAAACAAGGTCATATCAGTCTCCCGAGTTATGTGAAAATTGTAAGCAGTGCCATAAGAAAATCCAGTGCTAATGATTGGTTTTTCTTCAAACAATCCAGCCAAGAGAATGCCATCATTTTCTTCTTCTTTAAATTTCCCTCTAAACTAGCTTTTCTCCTCCACAGAGTGGTCCTCCGTAAGCAAGGTGTAAAAAACACTACTTTCTTGGAAAGCAATCATGCAGGAAGAAAGTGTAGGAACCCAGAAGATGTCAATAAATGATTGCATCAAAGCTGGTGGACTAATTTTCGAAACTAGGCTGAAATTTGGACAAATTAAGCCAAAAATACTAAATCTTCTAAAATTCAGGCATTTCAAATTTGGGCGTAAAGTTTGCGTTGATTTTCGTTGATTGAAAAAGCACATTTTAAAACTTTTGAAATTAATGTTTCTATAAGAGAAAGAAAACTAAAATGATTGATCTAACGATTCAAGCTGTGATTTGTACTGTTAAATCAGCAATCAAGATGGTGAAGATCCCTTACTTATTTGCCCTTTCTTAGTTTCTTTGCATAAATTATATGAAACAGAGTTTGAATAGAAATCAAATCCACAGACACTGGAATCGTCAGTGGGAGATTTTGGGGCCAAGCAGGAAATGGGTCAGACTCTCTAGACAACTAGGCCGGCCCAAGAGAGGTTCAAGCAGAATAGCCGTAGGGCCCGAGGATAGATGCACTAGGCCCAGTACGGTACTCCTATAGGACGGTGGTCTAACCTCTTCACCCTCCTCACTCCAAGAATCAAAAACCTACCCTCTCCTCCCAAATCCAACAATCTCATCATCAACAGTCCGTGCCCGTCTGTCAATCGCCAAAACCGCCTCTCTTCTTCTCCCACAATCTCATCATCAACAGTCCGTCGTCAATTGCCACAACCGCCTCTCTCTTCTCCTTCAAATGGCATCGAGAGTGTTGGAAGTTTCGCCCAATTGCCTTCCTTCATTCCATGGCTCGCTTGTATCTTCCCAGACACAAACTCCACCTCTCTTCACATCCCTTCAAACTCAGCTCTTTGAAGCTGTTAAAGAAATTCTTGATGCTAAGCAGAAATTCTCTCGTGATTCTGCAATTCTTGCCGCCTTTGCCAACAAACTGAGAGAAGCCGAGAGGGTTCTTGGCACCCTTGTGGATGATTATTCTGATTATCGCCGCCGCACCAAACGATTAAAAACACGTGTTGCTAGTATTACACAACAAATAGTTTGTCCGTGGTGCACTGCCACCCTCCCCACAAGAGGAGCAATTGCGTGCTTCTCAGTTATATAGTTTCTCTGACCTTGATGTCGGTTTACCTAAAACCAAGGAGAAAACATTAATTGAACCATTCATCAAAGCTCCAACTGCACAATCCAATCCACTTGCCAATCTTCAGCTTCCATCTGGTGAATTGCCAACCACTTTTCCATTGCCATTGCCATTGCCTATTCCTGGTGGTAGAATGGAAGATGAACCACCACTACCATCCAAAGTTTTACCTCCGATACGGGTTCGGCATGTCCAGCTTGACATTGATGACGACAGTAGTAGTGACTATAGTAGTAGTGATGTGGGAAGCTCTGATGATGAAGATTGAGAGTCAGCTAGGATGCATTTTTTAAATTCTTTTATGTTGCTGTATATAGATTGAATGTAATTCTGTAAGATGTGGTTTATGTGGTATGAAGTTTATATATCCTGTTACACTCTAAGAGCAACCCCAGCGCAGAGGTTGTTTTTCATTCCACACTTTATACAAAGTGTATAGCCACATCATCAATTTTATGTAAAGTATACATCACGTTAGCAATAGCAATTGATTGTGTACTTACTTTGAGGCTCCAAATTCTTGTTATGCACTTATTTTTTCATTATAAACTTTATTATATTATTATTTTTAAAATAATAAAATAAATTTTTTTATTGTTTTTTTTTTCCAACAGTTTTATTCTCAACAACTATAATACTAACGGCTATAATTGTTTGTTCCGCTCATTTTTCAGGCGCTACTTCATTCTTTATATGTAAAGAGTGGAGTGTGTAATATGAGATGGGTCCCATTAGTGTGTAATCCGCATAGTAGAGCCTCTCATTCCACACAGTCTCACATATTGTACACTTTGGTGATGCGCTGGTTGCTCTAAGATGCCACCACTTTCTGTCTCTTCTCTTAAATCAAGTTTATGAACGTGGGAACGACTCAAAGAGACAAACATGAAATTCATGTCATGGAAAGTTGGTTCATATATTACATGCCAATGGAAGGGTGTGGCGTGGCGTGGCGTGGCGTGAGTGTTAATACATAGGCAATGAATTGTTGCCAAATAGAGAATTTCACATGTAAATGGATATTTTCCTGTCGTTCAATGAAATTAATGCAGGCACTGTTGGCTGTCCTGAACGATAATTAGAATAAGTTACCTTAAAGGAAATGAGAAGTGCGAAGTTATCTTAAAAAGGACTAGCTAGCTCTCACGAAAACTAGAATGACATGAATACTACATGAGAATGCAAGGGAAAAAAAAATAAAAAATTAGGGAAGGATATAAAGTCACCTGAGGGTCTGCCTATGTTCAATACATAAACATGGATATTCAAATATATATATATATATATATATATATATATATATTTATTTATTTATTTGTATTTGTATCAACGTCCACATCAAATATATATTCAGCTAAAATTTGAACAAAAATTAAGAGAGGAAGAAGGAACAAGAAGAGTAGTTTTAAGGTGGATATATAAAGGATTCAGGTTAAGAAGGATACCCTTGTATATGCGGGATGTACTTATTTGAAGTTTTGGGATGTGAGCAATGTTAGGCCAATCTTCCCGTGTTTCCTTTTGGCATCAATCTTTTACCTCCTGTGGACAAATTTCAATTTGCAGTTGTTGTAATGTGGTGAGCCGACGCATCCCTTCAGGCAGTGACTTCAATATCCGGCAATAGGAAATGCGAAGTTGTTGAAGTGATGTGAGGTTGGCCATCCAGACTGGTAAACTTTTCAGATTTTCACAACCTCCAATGGTTAGATATTCCGTAGTGGTAAGGTGTTGAAGCCCCGCCGGAAGAGACTCCAACTCGCGCATTTCGTGGATTTGCAGAGAAGTTAGGTTGGTAAGTCCTTGAAAATGCATGCCTCCATTATCATCACCATCTGGCAAATCATATGACAAGCTTTCCAACTTCCTTATATTCTTTCGTGAGGATCAATATTACCTGCTTATTTGTGTTGCAATTTGATACCAAAATTTTCCATCCTTCCTCTCAATGAATATGCGTCGCAGGTTGAGCCAATAATGATATTAACTTTTAAATATTCCATACTTCTTGTATGGGTTGCATATTGATATCAAAAACCTTTTGTCATTTCATAGGCTTGAGAAGTATTTAAAAAAGTATTTTATTAAGAATTTACAACATACCATATCTATCTTTCAACTTTTTGCGGGCAAGTGTTTTAGCGAATTCAGAATTTGCAACACCAATAACCAGATTGATTTTCTGCACCTCATTTAGGTTGTGAAAAGGAACTGAAAGCATTTTCCACCTGTGTAGAAGCTTTACATCTAAGTAAACAGAACATAAAATAATAATTAAGTTAATTTAGGCTCCATTTGTTTGATCGGCGAGCTATTTAACACGTCCCATTCGATGAATTTGATCTCAACCTCAACCTAAACCTTTATCAAACATCAAAAAACAAAAATAAAAAATATATATGTTTTACCTAGAAATGGAAGCCTTAGTTTTCTATAATGAAGGAGATCGTTCCAGTTTGTAAAATAGTCATATTGCGCCTGTGAGTTAGGTCCATTTTCCTTGAGAAAATTCATTTGATTCAAATTTCGGCAACATGCCACCATAAAATTTGAACATTCGGAAGGAATTGGGAACCTGTTTCAAATATCCTGGAATTCCACAATTCACATTCTAAATAATTCATTCGAATTCTAGAATAAAAGCAAATTCCATTTATAACTTTTTCATACTCCAAACATGTCAGTTCATAGGATTTAAACCTTATAGTACATGAGTTTTTAACTTTTACACAGTTCACTCCCAAGCCTCACAAACTTTTATATTTACATCACCAAACTATTACAAGCCACACAACATAGTACATATGCTGAAATATACACCGAAGCCTCTTACGCCTAGACAAGTCAATCAAGTGATCATGTATGTAGGAAGCATCATGTCCCAAGCCTGAAATCAACAATACCGCTCAGCAGAGAACAAACAATATTCTAAATTCTACATCACCTTAATATGTAAAACAAACATAGATGGAGAACAACACGATTTTAAAGTAATCACCATACAAACAAGGAGAGAACAATAAAACTTTAATGGACCAGGTCAGTAGTATACAAGACAATAATTTAAACAAAAAACAGTACCTCAAGGTAATATCTCAACAAGCTTATGATTCAAACCTTTACGAACTTTATTAAAGATCCTCTATTAAACTGTAATGCATAAATCTTTTTGGGGACTTGCACCCAGAGGCCGTACCCAAATTAATGCAGAACGATTTTAGGGACTCCCACTCAGGGGCTGTACCCCTATTAGGGCATAAATCATTTTAGGGATTCTCGTACCCCCTATTAGGACATAATGATTCATCATATTAATACCAATTCTCAATACAATCGTCCACAATAATACCTCAACATAACCTCACCAACACCGCTTCTCATCAACAGAGGATTCAAAGCTGTCTTTAAAGTAAGTAATCTCAATAAAGTTTTCATTTCCGGTCAATCATATAATATAAATAGCAATACATTCACTACAACAATAATTCCTAAATCATATGCCCAAATTTCAATTTAATTTCTAATCACTAAAATGTATATCAATTCAGTAATTCCAGTTGACTAGCAATTATATCAACCAAAAAGACTTAACAATTGAATTAAACAAAACAAATAGAACAGATGGAATTTATACATAAATAGTTAATTAGGTTATCAATTCAAAGTTTAAATAATAAACTTTTAATATATAATTTAAAATACGAACTTCCCTACCTGTACCGTAGTCTTACAAAGATCAAGGTAAGATTTCTTTCTCTTTTTTCCTTTCTTTCTTCTATTTCTCTTTTATTATTATTTTAATCTTCTCTCCTGGCCATTCCTAAAGCTCACTGTTTCAGCTTTCTACGTGAGTTCCAAAAGCTAGCCTCCAAATGAAGCTTTCGTACAATTGATATATAATATACATATAGTATATACCCTCGTGTCTTTTGAGTGAGTGTTGTGCTGTGCAATATCTTTGCCTTCTTGATATTCTTAAGCTTTAGTGTGTGACATTTGTCACACCAAACATGGCTCATCATCTTCTTCTTTTTTCATTATTTAATTTATTCTAATTTGTTTTATTGACACTTTTCTCCATCCTATAGACCCACTTCTTAATTGCATTTTATTTACTTTCAATCCACAACTAACTTTATTTATAGTTTCCCACCTCATCAACTGGTTTGAACAATTTGTTTTATGCCAATTATTTTTCGTATTTTACACTTTCGCACCATTAACAACTAAATTTTCTTATTTTCTTTTATATTTCAAAACTCTATACTTTATATCTTACATTGAATTATTATATAATTCAAGTTTTAACCCATGAACATAACAAGTTGTGCTAACCCACGAACCCAATTTCTTTAATTAAATTTCGTTAAGACGACGCTACTCAAAATTCATATGCTATAATGGCATTAACAAAATTTTCTTAAGCAACCGTCTCATTATAATAATCAAAATTTAAATTCAATTTTCTTCTTTTCTGTTTATTATTTTTTTCAACCAACTCAACTGAATATGCAGATTTAAACTCAAATACACATTAATAAGCTCATAATAGCAAATAAAAAACCAAATAAAAATTTAGGATCTCAAAGAATATAACAAAATTAAGACATGGGAATCATAAAACCTTCAGTAATACACTTAAGCCCACCAAATCCAGACAAGAAGCACCACCAAGGTAGTTTTTTTAATAAGAGCACAGGAATGCCCAGAAATTAAGAGATCACACATAAGACTGGGAATACATGTCAGCATGTGCACACAAAATCACGTGCAAAGCGCATTTGTTTAATTAGAAATTTTACCTTCCTGTCAAACACGTATGGTCCATAATTAACACCACCCATGTTTTAAACCTACATCAGAAGAAAAAAGGATTCTATCAAAAACAAGGCAGGACACTACATTCAGTCCTCTAAGTATCAATACTGACAACCCTGATAACCAGTAAAGATAAAATTTGAAGATAACCTTTTATTATTCAGTGCTTGCAACTCACTATTTGGATATAGAAACTACTGTGTGTTTAAGAGTAAGGAGTTGCCTTTAAATTGTCTCATATTGATCCGGACAGTTAGATGCACTAAAGAAATAAAATTGGATGCTATGTACATTCAATTATGGAATTATTTCTGTATAAATTGAGAAAATTTTGTTAATCTCTCTATAAATCCCCGATGGTATAGAAAACTACTTTATACACTACGATAATAATAATAGATACTTAGACAGAATGTAGGTAGAATTTTAAAAAAAAAAATTTACGGGTATTTCGACTGAAATACACACTATTTTTGAAGCTAAGCTGATGCATAAAATAATATTACTGTATTTTCCAAAAAAGAAACTGTTTCCTACTTGACCAATAAGAAGGCTTGGACCACTTGGTTAACAAAAATGATATGTAATTCATTCATTGTTGAGTGTGTGACATTCCTATTACTGAGTTGTATAGCCACATTCCCAACATGTATGCCTCCACTTTAACCTTGTACTCTGTTGTTTTATCCTTTTAATACAAAGCCATTGAGGTAAAAAAAATAAAAAGAAAAAAAGAAAAAAAAAAAAAAAAACAGATTCCCAACACATATCAAGCTAAAAGTTCAGAATCTTGCAATTTATTGTAACAAGCAAATTGGCATATAGACAGATGTAGTTTGGCAACCAAGTAAAGAATCAAATACTTTCTACCAAGCTTTTTGTGATTGTTATATGTAGAACTCGGTGCATCAGAGATGCATCCACGACCATGAGAGAGTTTTCAGATGTTACTTGAAATCAATTACTATATGGGAGAAAACATATTCCTAGGGAACTCGTGATGTTCAGCAAGAAAAAACATCTGGCACAGATCGAATAATTGATAATCAGACGTGGTAGGAGAAGAGATATTCCTACGGCAAAATATATAAACTGATACATCAAAGTAACACTGGTGGAAGATAATTTTCCTTTTTTTTGTTTAGTAGAGAGTCTAAACGCAACTCAACTCAACAAAGCCTTTTTTCCAACTACTTGGGGTTGGTTACATAAATCCTATTTTTCCATTCCACTCAATCTAAGGCCATAACCTAAGTCAAAAGTATTATTATAACTTTTATTAATAACATTACCCATGGAAATTTTGGTCATATCCTTCCTCTAGCATTATCCTTGATGTGGACTAGCTGAGCATAGGCTCATAATTTGCAATCTCTTCAATATAGAGTGAATTTAATAAGAAGGGGGAGCAAAGACGAAAGTCTTACCTTAATGACTGGGATGCAAAGACAAAAGTCTTACCCTCCTGACTTCAACCAAACAGTCCTTTTAAACACTAAATTCTGGATTTATTTCTTCTTGAAATGTTACTTCTACTACAGAGAGAAAGGAACGGTCCGAGAGTTATTCTAGAAAAAGAAATAACAATGATTAGGGAAATTAGAAGCTCATATATACATCAAAGCACATAAATGAGAGACATTTTGCTTCCGTTCAAAATCTTACAATATCATCAAAACAATGAGGAATTATGATCAAATTTCAAATTAATAGACATCAGTGCAACAAAGATGTATAATCTACTAACTTTACAGCGAGCCATATTGATCCCTTCAATCTTTGAAAACAAAATGAATAATAAAGATAGCTAAATCGAGTGACGCCTTCTGCAAAAAGTGATTATCTCTCTACACTGTAAAATCAACAAAAACAAATATCAACATCATATTGTTGCCAAATAGAGAATTCCATATGCAAGTGTACATTTTTCGGTTCTTCAATGAGAACATGTTTCATCAATCATTTATTAAAATAAAATAAAATAAAGAATTCGGGTATGATATTAGTCATTTTTTTCCCCTGAATGATCATTTTATCCCTCGTGGTGATCAAATCTAGGACAACAATGCAGATTCGATATTGGTTGAGTTTGGAAATCATAGAGATAATACAATGTAAAATCATAAGAGTGTATTTGCAACGGTTGTCCTGAGTGATATGGCATTGTGATTTTACAGTATTCTTCTATATCTAGTTATAGTAAGTTACCTTAAGAGAAATGAGAAGTGCTTTGTGGGTTTGAGTATATATGTTGATTAAAGAGATATATGAAGGATTCAGATTAAGAAGGATACCTTGTATTAGTATATAAGAACTTTTGGGATGTGAGCAATCTTAGGCCAATCTTCCTCTGTTTCCTCTTGGCATCTATCATATAGCTCCTGTGAAGAAAATTCAATTTCCAGGTGTTGTAATGTGGTTAGCCGTTGCACCCCTTCCGGCAGTGAATTCAATCTTGGGGAATCGCAAATGTAAAGTTGTTGAAGTGATGTGAGGCTGCCTATCCACTCTGGTAAACTCATCAAATTTTCACAATATTTAATGGTCAGATGTTGGAGAGTGGTAAAGTGTAGAAGCCCCGCAGGAAGAGACTTCAACTTGGGTATTCGTTCAATAGTCAGAGAAGTAAGGTTTGCATTATCATCACCAATATCTGACAAATCAATCTCTTGGCAATCATTGATGTGCAGAGACCGGAGGGCAGTGAGATGTAGCATCCATCTGGACAGAGAGGTTCGTCTTGGACAACCACCAATGACTAGTTTCCGGATAGAAGTGAGACGTTGGAATGCGGCCTCCGGCAGTGTAACTTGATCCACAGATACAACCAGTTCCTCTAAGTTGGAAAGAGGAAGTACGAGTGAAGAAGAAGAAGATCGCGTTGCTGCCACCATTGTTGTCTTTGTCTTCATCAATAACTGTTGTTGTACTAGCTTCTCTCTGACTTCCCACAATTCTAGTTTTACAACAGTTGGTTGCAGAGGCATTGATGTTAGCTTAGGGCAGTACCTGATCAATGATTCAATAAGACAGGGAAATGATGGTAGCAGTGACAGTTCCTGATCTTCTGCTGCTGCTAACTTACTCATCCTCCACCATCCCTTCAAATTAGGCATGAACTCTAGAGTGAGATATTTCAGTGATGGAAAGAATGTTGTTGGTGGTGGTGGTGCTCGCTCTCGTCTTCCTCCACCTCCTCTCGATGATGAAGACGGAAAAGGAGAAGACATTAAGGACTCATCATTATCTAATTCATTACCACCACCAGTAGGTCCACCACTACTGAAGTAGTCATCTATGTACTCTATGGAAGTTAATCCACCAAGATGAAGTTCTCGGAGAGAAGGAAGCTGCTCTATTTTTGGAAGATGTTTACATCCTTCACAATTCCATATATTAATATGAACAAGATTTGGGAGGACGGACGTAAATGACATCCATGTTGGTAATCTCACACCCCTATAGTGATATATTCTGAGCTTCTTCAGATTTGCGTATGGCCGGAGAGCTTCCAATACTAACTCATCGTCACCGAAATACAATTCCAAAGACTGAAGGTATTGTTTCCCCTTCAAGTTCGCTTCCTCTGCTTCTTCTTTTAATCTTGCCCCTATTCTTTTATTACCCGCTTGCCCCACTGAACGTATTATAATCTGCAACTTACCCCTTAAAAGTGTTTAAATTTTTCAATTCGCTTAACCTGTTAAATGGACCCACAATGAACTGATTTAATGTCCGAAGACAAGTCAGCTGGCCCATTCCACGCGGCATATCATTCAAATGACTCCCACCATCAATCTCCAAATGTCTAAGGCTCACCAATTTTCTAATATCTCTTGGCAATTGGTTGAAAAAGGGACAATCACAAATTTTTAGAGTTTGTAAATTTTGCAAGTTGGTAATGGAATTTGGCAGTGTCACAATTCTATGGTTATTGGAAAGATCAAGATATCTTAAATGCCTTAGCTCACTTATGCAACTCGGTACAGTCATCACTCCCAAGGCATGCATATCCAACACGCGTAACCTTTTGAAAGTAGAAACAATCGTTTCAAATACTGATTCCTCCAATTTCAACAGAGGGGATTGTATTGCAGCTGGCAAAAAAAATGTTCTTACCTTGACAGCTCCAAGCAAGGGGTTAGGAATTTTTAATGAAAACTCTGTACATAGAGATGAATCAAATGACACATCAAATGACACATGACGGGTTCTTGTAGAAACATCATTTGCATCTAAATTCACCATGGAACTCTCACTTGCCGCAGTCGATTGTGCAAGGTCATGCATAAGATCATGCATTTTACAACTTATTGTACTACCAAATTCGTCTGTTAAATCATCTTGAAAAAATGACCTCCTTAGTAAATTCATAAAATAAGAATCTCCAACATCCTCCATATCTTGATTTTTATCCGACAGCTGAATAAATCCATTTGCCATCCACAATTGGATCAGTTGTTGCTTATTAATTACATGATCTTTAGGATATAAGCAACAAAATGCGAAGCATTGCTTTAGATACCAGGGAAGGTGATCATAGCTCAACCTCAAAATTGGTAGAATAGCATTCTCCTCTTGAGCTATTTTGGTCATATTTTTATCTTTAAAAATCAACCATTCCTTCACTGTATCTCTAGAATATAATAGACTTCCTAAAACTCTTATGGCTAATGGAACTCCTACACACTTCTCCACAATTTCCTTTCCTATTTCCACTAGACATGGATTCTCAGGCTCTATCCCTTCTTTAAACGCCATTTGCTTAAATAGAGACCAAGACTCTTCGTTAGACAAGCCTTTTAAAGGATACAATGAATTTGTCCCAGAAACAGCTGCCACTAATTTACTATGGGTGGTTATCAAAATCTTACTTCCCTTAGCACCACCCATCAAAAGATCTCACAGTTCTATCCATAGGTCCCGATTCTCATTCCACACGTCATCCAACGGCAAAAATTTATTCCATCTATTTCTCTCCTAAGCTGATTTTGCACACCTTCCGTCTCAAGATTTCCTGGTTTACTGCCCATTGCACTTTCTATCATCTTTTCTGCAATTTGTTTTACATCAAAGACATCAGAAACACACACCCACATCTTACGCTCAAAATGTTTAGTGACATTCTCATCATTGTATACCAATTTTGTAAGTTCGGTCTTTCCTAGTCCCCCGATTCCAACTATTGCAATAATTGACACATTCTCTAGAACATTTTTGTCCATCAATAATCCCATAATTGCCTTTTTATCATCATCCCTCCCAATAACTTTTTCCGCGCGCACAAAAGAGTGACTCTCCCTCTTCTCTTTCTCAACTCCCATCTCAAGAGCCCTATCAGTAAAGTGGAATTTGCTCTTATCTACTGCTATGGTATCTAGTCTCTCACGGATGACCTTAACTTTATGACCCATCTTAAGACTAAAAACAAGCTGATTTGAGTTTGAGAAAAAAATTCGTACCTTCTTGGTGCGTTTATTCTGAGTCATCACTTTTCGCCGCAAAGCTTCTGTGGAGAAGTCATCCAGCAAATCATCAGCATCATAGACCACGTCTTTGAGATTTTCGAGCCAAACTCTAACCTCGTTGTTTGACACCTGTTGCTGCTCTGCATCAAGAAGTACTTCTTTGAGCGTGCAAATTGTGCTCTCCAATTTGAGAGACTCACTTTCAATGCCATACGCCAATTGAAACTCCTGGAGAGCTGGAAGGCCCAATTTCTTCAATAATGGGATTACAATTTCAGAAACAATTGCTTCTGCCATTACTTTTTTAGTGGCTAGTACTGTGGGTGTGGATCAAGGCTAGAAGAAAATTAATTAAGCACTCTTGAAGAAGGAAGTTGTATGTAAGTGGCACACTGCCTCTATGAATAGCCATGGCCAATATTTATACACAACCTGTCCCTCTAAAAACTTGTTCTAATTGTAAAACTAAAGCATAAGAATATCTTCTTCAAAGGTATCAAGAAAGAATATATTGGTAATTCACAAGTAAAGCAAATGAAAAAGTTAATAGCTTTAGACAAGTCTAAGGAAAGATGCAAATGTGAAATAACAAAAATTGAATAAAGGATTATAAAGAAGTTGAATTTGGAGTAAGCCATTCTTTACTTGTATTCAAATTACACTTCCAAGATCTTTTACAGGTATTAATTTACTTTTTAATATTCCTTACTTGTTTGTGCTGCAATTTGATACAAAAACTTTCCAACTTTCCTCTTCCTTGCATTCTTTCTCTCACTTTAAGCAATCCTTCCTAATAGATTTAGATTTTTTAACGCACCAACAATGGAATAAAAGAAATTTTATATTGTATATAAATCAGAGGATGATAAATATCAATATTCAATGATCAAAACAATGGGAATTTTAAGCTTTGGTTTCCTTTAAAAGATGTGATTTTTGCACCTCATCTTTCCGGAAATGCCCTATTGCACAGAACCACCATTTCAGCGATTAGGAATAAATTGGTCTCCTTTGTGAAGTTTGACTGCCCAGAAGCTTCTAGCATAGATAGCATTGTGCCGGAATTGGGATCTCCCTTCCCTGCGCAACCACCGGACACGATGAATGTTACTAGTGCTAACTTTGTTTGGAGCCCTAGTGATCTAGTTCTGTTCATACACTACTTTAATTGGGCTTGGGATGGCCCATTTAAGTGGGGATTTTTGGGATTGGGCTGTTATTTCCAGAGTGAGTTCTCATAATTTGGCAAAAAAAAAAAAAAAAAAAAAAAAAAAAAACACTTGGACTTGGGAATTAAGGATTATGCAATGCAATTTCTTTGTATTCTTTAACAAGGATCAACAGAAATTTGTTTAGGTAAGAATGATTAACTTTTTAATATTCCATACTTTTTTGTGTTGCAGTTTGATACCAAAATTTTCCACCTTCTCTCACCCTCTTGTCCTGTCTTTCATTTTAAGCCATCCCTAACATTAGGTTTTAGCTTTGGAGAAAAGAAATGTTTTTGACAATGAATTTGTTAGATTTGTTGAGCTAAGAATGATTTAGCGGTTTTTTTTGGGTTAGAATTTTAGCTTTGTTGAGTTAATTCGATTAGTTTTATCATTATGGCAACTTAACAACTTCAGACTCCAGTGGTATTACATGACCTCTTTTTTCAGAATGAAATGGTTCAATTCTCCCAATTGCATTGTAGACCCCAATTATTACAAGGGCTAATTTCAAAAACTTCCCACTACTTTCAAATTTTGATCATAAATCTCCAACCTGTTTCAAAAAACCCTATACATTTAAAAAACTGATCATATTATCCCAATATCCTTATCCAACCGGTTAATTTTGCTATGAAATGTCGAATTTCACCTTTACTATTGAAATATCGAATTTGACCAGTCATATTGCCCCATTGAATTGCAATCCCAAAACATGTGATTAGAAATAACTTCCAATTTCCAAGAGGTACATACGTTATTATGTTGAATAACAGGTACCTTCAACACCAATTGAATGTACATGTTCCAGAATTGCTAAGAAACTATTTAAAGCTGTAACAACAACATAAATGGAGAAAAAATTATTGACTTGGAGTGATTGAATGTGAGGATTTAAAGGACACGACTAAATACAAAATAAAAAAATAGAAGAAAATGAAGGAAAAAACAAAACAAACAGGAGGATATGGCCAAACAACCATGCATATTTTTCAAAGTTGGAAGGACCCTGCTTAGTTGGATGGCAAACAAGCAGTCATATGTGAAAATTGTAAGCAGTGCCATGTAAAATCCCCTGATGCTTTTTCTTCAAGCAATCCAGCCAAGAGAAAGCCATAATTGTTCCTCTTGCCCCAACTCTCTCACCATTTCTTTTTTCACCGTCATTTTATTAAGTTTCCATTCTGTTTTCTCTATCACATAGTTGTTCTCCTTAAGGCAATATCTGAAACACACTCTTTTCTTGGAAGCAATCATGCAGGGAGAAAGTGTAGGAGGTTCAAATGATGATGTAACAAACCTCAGGCATCACTCAGAGGATTTCAATAAATGAGTGCAGTCAAAGCATGTGGATCTTCGAAATGCTTGAACCACACATGAAATTGGGCTGATCAACTGAGCGAATCACAAGGTCATGGCTTGGAGAATCCAACTCAAGTATGACCTAAGCAACAATAAACAGAAAGAAGTTAAAACAGACATCATTCGTCAAATGGGAAGTCATTAGTAACAATCTACAGAATATATATGATATGAAAATAATAGAATCACGTTAAAGAGCAATCCAGGAGCATGATAATTACACGTAATACATATTCTACTGTATCCAACCGGAGGAGTCCTACTTTCGGGGAAGACCAAATAACACTATTCTTTTGTTTTCCATTAAATATCTTTATTTATATGAACAATAAATTCAACTGATCTCAATAAAGCCATCTCCAACTATTTTCGGCCAGCTACATGAATTCCATTCCACTTGTTCATGTCATAACCACAATCAACCACATATTTTCATACTTTTCCTTACTATCTCAGCACATGTTAGTTTTTGTATTATTCCCCTAACATTACCCTCAGTATGGACCACATCTTTCTCACTGGTAATGTTAGTGGTCTTCTCTTCACTGAACATGACCAAACCATGTTAATAGATTCTCTCATGCATCTCTAATTAGTACTACTTCAAGTCTTCAACTGTCTCATTAATGCTTTCACACAAATTTATTGTTTCTTATATTGCCACATATCATTGACATTTAAAACAGCTCATTTAATGTATATGCTGATTTTTAGATGAACATTTTTCCCTATTAAGTATGGCTAAATTTCTTATATATAATGTGAAATAATGAGCTTTAAAATCCAACTAAATCCCACAAGTTTAAACACAATTCATTTCTACCGGTCAAACCCAGCATGCATTAGTGAATTGCCATCTCAGCATCCTTCCCAATTCATTGTGTTTGCATTCCATAAGCTCCTGAATAAGCATCAAAATCTAAACCTCAGTGAAAGACAAAACAGCTATGATCCCTAGCTCCCAAGAAATCTTTGAATTCCTGTATGAAAAGAAACCCCCAAGATATCATCTATCAACTCTCAATTCCTGCTATCTATTGACCAATGAAAGGAGTCCAGGAAGACAATCACTATTTTCTAAGCTCCGAGGTAGATGCATCAATCGAATATGCAGGATGTCAAGAAGAAGAATAGGTTAGATGTATAGGTTAACAATGGTCCAGAAAGAAGTATAATCCAAAAGCAAACAATGGCACAGAAAGAAGTAGAATCCACATTGTTTTTTCCAAACAACTCAAAAAGGTAGCACAAGGCATTACTCCAAAAAGTCCTTCAGTAGTTAAAACCTGAAAAGAGAATTGCTTTAGGAACCTGACTTAATAAGTCCTAGTCCATATGAACGATAAAGAAAATAAAGATGGACAATTACCATGTTGTTATTCAGGGATTTTTATTTTTTATTTTTGGTTCAAAATCATGAGAGAGAGAGAGAGCGCGCAGACATATTTATATTTCTTGTATATTCAACACACTAAACCCTAATAAGCCTATGTAGGCTTATATAAAGTGTACAAGATTTACTTAATAACACAAGGGCCCTACCAACTATATGTAATTACATAATGACCCAACACACACACACACACACACACACACATATATATATATATAACATTCTAACACTCCCCCTCAAGCTGGAGAATATATATCAAATAATCCCAGCTTAGAACAGATAGTTCTTAACCGGTTATGACCGAATGCTTTGGTAAACATATCAGCTAATTGATCTTCAGACTTCATGAATGGAGTAGAGATGCTCCCACGTAATATTTTTTCTCGAATGAAGTGACAATCAACTTCAATATGTTTGGTCCTCTCATGAAACACATGATTTGATGCAATATGAACTGCTGCTTGATTATCACAGAACAATGGAGTAGGAGCTTCAACTGTCAACCCAAGTTCTTTTAGAAAATGTTGTATCCATGTCAACTCACTAGTGGTATGGGCCATTGCCATATACTCAGCTTCAGCACTAGATCGAGCTACCACCGTTTGCTTTTTACTTTGCCATGTAACAAGATTTCCTCCTACAAATGTGCAGTAGCCTGTAGTAGATCTCCTATCTGAAGGAGAACCAGCCCAATCGGCATCTGTAAAACCTTCCACCCTGAGATGACCATTTGATTTATATAATAACCCAAAACTTGGAGCTTGCTTAAGATATCGGATAATCCGAAGAACAGCAATCCAATGTGGCATTCTAGGGGCTCCTATGAATTGACTTACAACACTAACTGCATATGAAATATCAAGTCGAGTGATAGTGAGATAAATTAATTTTCCAACAAGGCGATGAAATCTGCCCGGGTCATTAAATAGGTCACCCTCATCAGACACAAGTTTTGCATTTGAATCCATAGGAGCATCAACCAGATGACCACCTAACATACCTGTTTCTTCTAATAAGTCCAACACATATTTTCGTTAGGATAAACTTATACCCTTCTTGGATCTAGTAACTTCAATACCCAAGAAATACCTAAGTTTACCCAAGTCTTTAGTGTGGAATCAATATTGCAAAAACAACTTCAACTTAGCAATGCCTTCAGAATCATCACCTGTGATCACAATATCATCTACATATACCACAAGAAATATGAAGCCAGCTTTAGTACGCTGGTGAAATACCGAATAGTCGGTCTGACATCTATTAAGATCAAATTTTAACGCCGCCTCAGAGAATTTTCCAAACCAAGCACGTGGAGATTGTTTCAATCCATACAGGGCCTTTTTAAGGCGACAAACAGTGTGAAGATACTCCCCCTGAGCAACAAACCCAGGTGGTTGCTCCATATAAACCTCTTCTGTTAAGTCACCATACAAAAAGGCATTTTTAACGTCTAACTGAAATAGAGGCCAATGTCGATTAGCAGCAAGAGAAATCAAACACAAATAGAAGAAATCTTAGCAACGGGGGCAAATGTCTCATCATAGTCAATACCATAAGTCTGAGTATAACCTTTGGCAATAAGATGTGCTTTTAAACGCTCAACGAACCCATCTGGAAGATACTTTACAGTATATACCCAGCGACAACCAACAGGTTTGGCACCTGGAGGTAATGGAACAAGATTCCACGTGTCATTCTGATGCAAAGCATCCATTTCATCTTGCATGGCTTTCCTCCGGCCCGAATTAGACAAAGCATCCTGCACAGTCTTAAGAACAAATGTAGTAGACAACTGAGAGGAAAAACATGAGAATGATGGCGATAAGGAATTATTAGAGACATAATTAGCAATAGGATGATTAGTGACACACGAGCGAGTACCTTTACGAAGTGCAATAGGCAAGGAATCAGACACAGTAGATGGTGTTGGATCCAAAGACTATAAAGATGATGGAGGAGGCACGACAACAGATGGCTTTGGTCTTCGAGTGTACACCTGTAACGGGGCAGGCGAAGGAGATCTAAGTTGAAGAGAAAGTGAGGGAAGAGGAACCGCAGGAAGAGGCGACTCAGGAGTGATATTAAGAAGTGAATCACTATCTGAAAAATATGGGATGGACTCACAAAAGGTTACATCCGCGCTAATAAAGTACCGTTGAGAAACAGGACTATAGTAGCAATAACCTTTATGAGAACGAGAGTATCCAAGAAATACACACTTTGTAGCACGTGGGTCTATTTTATCAAAACCAGGACCAAGATTGTGGACATAACATACACATCCAAAAACTCTAGGAGGAAGAGAAAACAAGGGAGAATCAGGAAATAAAATAGAATATGGAGATTTGCCATTTAATACAGATGACGGCATACAGTTAATAAGATGACAGGCAGTAAGAACAGCATCACCCCAAAACCGTTTAGGCATACGCATATGACACAATAGAGCACGGGTTACTTCTAAGAGGGGTCGATTCTTACGTTCTGCAACTCCATTCTGTTGAGGAGTATAAACACATGAATTTTGATGAATAATTCCTTTATCACTAAGATATGTATCAAAGGGAGTTGAAGAATATTCCTTAGCATTATCAGAACGTAGAATACAAATTGGGCATCCAAACTGAGTTTTGATTTCTTTTCGAAATTTTTGAAAAATTAAAAATAACTCAGAACGATCTTTCATTAGAAATAACCAAGTCAGGCGAGAATAATCATCCACAAATGTCACAAAATAATGAAATTTATTGATTGAAGAATGCTTTATTGGACCCCATACATCTGAATGAACCAAATGAAAAGGACTAGAGACACGATTATTAACCCTAGACTTGAAAGACATGCGATGGTGCTTACTAAGTTGGCAAACTTCACATGACAAGAATTTCAAATGACTAGGACTAGGAACTTGACCCTGCAAAACTTGAAGTGATAGGTGACCAAGACGACAGTGCCACTGGAATCGAGACAGAGAAGACTGAAGAGCCACAGGATAAGGTTCCAAATCAAAGAAATATAAGCCACCAGCTTCATACCCCATACCAATCGTCTTCTTCGTCTTGAGATCCTGAAACACACAAGTAGTAGGATAAAATGTAATAGAGCACTGAAGAGATTTAGTAAGCTTACTGATAGACATTAAATTAAAGGGAAACTGAGGAACATATAAAACAGACGAGAGAGACAAGGAATCACTAAGTTGATTTGTCCCCAGACTTGAAACCTTAGTGGATGAACCATTAGCAAGAGTAACACTTTGAGAAGGAGATACAGAATTAAAATCAGACAGGAGAGAAGAACATCCAGTCATATGATCGGATGCTCCAGTGTCTATGATCCAAGGACTGCGAGTGGAAGACAATAGACATGTGTGTGCAGTACCTGACTGGGCAAAGATAGCCGTGGAAGATGAATTAGATGCTTGCTTATAAGACAAAAACTAAGTATACTCGTCACGTAGAACAGGGACCGTATCTGATTCAGCTACGTTGTGAGATCCAGAATCAACATCATTCGGAGAGGAGGAAACTTGATTTGCATAACTAGATGGTTTGCCATGAAGGTCCCAACAAAAATTCACAGTATGATTAGAAAGGCCATAATGAGTACATTTTCGTGATTCCCTGCCACGGCCACGTGACCACGTCCTCCCCGTGAATCACGACTACCACGTGTGGAGCATCCCCCACGACCTCCACGATAAGCATTATGTTCAATGCTGAACGCTCACCACTCTGCCTAGTATTCAAATTTGAGGTGTCACTTGCAAGTGTAGCGCGCTGAAGTCGAGAAAACATCTCAGCAAGAGATGGAAGTATGGGACTGCCCATAATCTGTGCACGAAAAGACTCATATGCTGATGACAAACCAATAAGAAAACGGACAATATTAAAGTCCTCACGCTGTTGTTGCATACTTCGACCATCAGCAGTAATGGGCTAATACATATTCAGCTCCTCACAGACTCCCATAACTTTGGAATAATACTCTTCTGTACTGTGATTACCTTGTTCAAGATTAAAGTATTGCTTACAAAGCTCATAAACACGAGTGATATTACCTGTCCCATAATACAATTGTTGCAATTTGTTCCATATCTCCTTGGCAGTATCCAAATAAAGCAAAGTTGAACTGATTTGGGGTTCAATACTGTTTAACATTACAGAGATGATCTGAGCATCTTCCTTTTCCCATGCATCAAAAGAAGTATCAGTTTCCTTGAGTTTATCTTTAGTCAGATGAGTACCAAGACCTCTGCCTTTGAGAAAAATTGCAACAGTTTTAGCCCACAGTATGTAATTCTTCCCATTGAGTTTAACTGAAGTCATAGGAGAATGAAGACTGGATGTGGGAGAAAGCAAATCTGAACTGGATGTCATGTTGAATCCAGTAAAACAAAGAAGAAAAAAAAAAAAAAAATGCAGAATTTGTATTCCGGCCAAACCTGAAAACGGGCCGGATCTGGGCAAACCAGCCGGATCTGGGCTATCCCAGGTTTAGTGAACCAAGGTTGGAATAACTATCCCAGGGTTGGAATAACATAACCGTGTAGCCAAACACGGGTCTTCTTCTTCACACCTTCACAAACGCCGGTGAATAATGCAGCTTAGGCGACGGCAACCCAATCACAAGCAATGGCCGAATCAATAAGCAGCGACAGCTGCAACTTCCGGCTAAAAAACGCGAATCGATTAACCTCACCTCTGCAAATCGAGACGGCAGATGTCGGCGAGCTCGCTGACAACCAAAGAGGAGCTGCCGGCGACGACGAACAAGCTTCAGATCTGATGACGATGAACGAGGCTGCAGATCTGACGACGGTGAATGAGAAGCTGCCGATGACGACGAACGAGGAGCTGCCGGCAGAGACACCAACACCACAATCGCGATTCCGATCTTATATAAGAACAACCTAATTACAGACTCTCACACCCATGATTGTGTAGCTCTGATACCATGTTCAAAATCATGTGTGAGAGAGAGAGAGCAGACATATATATATTTCTTGTATATTCAACACACTAAACCCTAATAAGCCTATGTAGGCTTATATAAAGTGTACAAGATTTACTTAATAACACAAGGACCCTACCAACTATATGTAATTACATAATGACCCAACATATATATATAAAACATTCTAACATATTTATATTTGTGTGTGTCTACATAGTTTGGCCTGAAATGTGAAGAACCGATGCACACTAAAAATCTTTTAATATATAACACAACATTCGCGCACCCACACGCATATAGCATTTGGTGTTTCCTACCACAACATTTTCGCCATGCTTAAGGACTGGGGCAGGAACATAAAGGTTGCACTGTGGTCCAAATGACTGCATTAAGGGGAAAAAAAAGAAAAAGAAAAAGAGGTTACACAACGGTTTCATAAAGATGTGTACTAACATGATATCAAATAACTCAATCTTTAGAGGGAAAATTATATCACAGCACAGTTTACCGGCCAAAATCTTCCTATATTGAAATCATTGACAAATGCAATCCCTTTTCCCCAGCCACGGAATGATAAGAATGTGTCATTAATTTGGTTTATTTTGTCAATAACAAAACGACCAGCATAGAAAGCTGGTTCTTTAGACGAGTTCCCTGCACCAAAAAAAAAATAAATAAATAAATAAAAAAAAACAATGGAATTTAATCACTGTTTGCTACCCATTATTCATGATCTTCTTGTTGATTGAGAAATTAAGCTCATCATGTCACAGGAACATGAAAATTCGACCATAGAAAAGCCAAAAGTAGATCAGGAATAAAGATAATTGATAAAAATAAATAATAATAAAAAATAAATAAATCTATACTGAACATAATGCTCCTCTCAAACAGTTTCTGCTACTTAAATGTATTTTATTAAGAATTGAGAACATACCGGATCTATCTTTCAATTTTTTTCGGGTATGAATTTTAGTGAACTCAGAATATGCAACATCAATGACCGGATTGATTTTCTGCACCTCATTTAGCTTGTGAAAAGGAACTGAAAACATTTTCCACCCGTGTAGAAGCTTTCCATCTAAATAAACAGAAGATAAAATACCCTGTAAAAGAAAACAGTAGATAATTGACCATCAATAATATTTGTCACCAAGGATGCACTAGCTTCTACAAACTTCAAGTAGAAAGGATGAAAAGCATACTACCCTGAAGTGGGAAATGTAGTCATCCAATTACCTCATAGAGGTAATACCATATGTATAAATTACATGATTATATTCTAAATTCAGGACTAAATGAGATATATTCTAAATTCAGGACTAAATGAGATATAGATTCTACTATTATAAACATAATAACATGGTTTTAGAATTCAACAAGCTAACTCATATATTAGCTCAATTTGGAGACTAGGTGTCGGAATCTTAACTGACCAAACTCAGGAAAACAAAATTTAGCCATGAGATCAGAATATTTGGCAAAATCCAGGAAATTTCTGATTCAAATTTTAGGAAAAGATGGCTACCTAGTATTCATTACTCCCTCCATCCCATTTTAATTGTCCTGATTTGGGAACCTAACTTTTTAAGATGATATTTTTTAGTATTTTTTTTTCTTTCATATTGGGAGTGAATGAATTACCAATTCTACCCATAGTGGGTCCATAGTGATGTGATGCTTTATCCTTTAGATGTTTCTATAAGTTCAATGCAAGAAGGTTAAATTGGTTATGTTACAAAAAATAGTACATTGACTTTTCAATTGGAACAACTATTTTGGGACAGCTAAAAATAGAAAGGTGGACAATTAATATGAGACGAAGGGAGTATTATTATTATTGATTCAGCCAAAATGTTGGACTAATTTTCCAAACTAGGCTGAAATTCGGAACAAATTAAGCCAAAAATACAAAATCTTCTAAAATTCAGGCATTTCAAATTTGGGCGTAAAGTTTGTGTTGATTTTCATTGATTGAAAAAGCACATTTTAGAACTTTTGAAATTAATGTGTCTATGTGCAAGAAAAGTAAAATGATTGATCTAACCATTCAAGTTGTGATTTGTATTGTCAAATCACAACTGGAACATCAACAATCAAGATGGTGAAGATCACTACTTATTTGCCCTTTCTTTGCATAAATTATATGAAACAGAGTTTGAATAGAAATCAATCGACGCACCAGAGACGGAATCATCAAAGGGAGATAGAGAAAAAAAATGAAAAACAAAGGAGGGAATACATGCGGCAAATCACTCAAAAGCCACGCACAAAGGGTTGGGGCTTGGGTGTGGCAGTGTGGGTGTATGGACTAGGTATAATTTTAGAAGCCATATTCATCCCATATCTTGAGATTCTTGGACATGGAAAGAACTGTCAGCCCACAAAGTATTGCAAAATGCATTCATCAATTTGCAAAAGCATATTTGTTTATTAAGCAAAGTATGAAGCTCATGTTCGTATCTTAAAAGGAAAACATTAAACATTAAAATGAAGAAGCAATAAATTAATAAGATGACAGGTTATGGCACAAAGTGTGCTTATCACTATAAATATGGAGTTTGAAATGTCTGGAAGAAATTAATCAAGTTGAACCCTCAACCTCCCATTTGAGAGTAGAGAGAGAGATCACTAGGCTAGACACTTGGTGGTCACACAACTAATGTTTTTTACACTTTGTCACAAATTTCACTGTTTTTTAAGTTTTTACTGTAAAAAAATGACATTATAAATGGTAAACGTTAAATAAAATATAAAAACACTAAGGTGTGGCTAGAAAAGTGAGTACCATGATGCACCAGGAAAATTAAGAGTAAGTTCAACATGACAAGCACGCCTCAAGCCGTCAAACACACCGATTTGACTTACATTAAAATTAACACCGGTGAATAAAACATAATTAAGACATGGGAATCATAAAACCTTCAGTAATACACTTAGGCATCCAAAAGAGCATTAAAATTTTAATCAAGGCCACCAAATGCTGACAATAAGCAACACCAAGATTGTTTAATAAGAGCATATAAATGATAAGTATGTACATGCTGAGAAATTAAGAGATCACACATGAGACTTGGATGTGCATGTGAGGATATGGACACAAAAACACATGCAGAGGGCGCGCAATTGTTTAATTAGAAACTTTACCTTCCTGTCAAACATATATTGTCCATAGTTAACTCGACCCATGTTTTCAACCTACAGCAGAAGAAAAAAGGATTCTATCAAAAACAAGGACACTACATTCAGTCCTTAAAGTACCCAAACTGACAACCCTGATAAAAGAACTAACAATAATAAAAATTGAAGATAACCTCTTATTATACAGTATTTGCACTCACTAATTGGATATAGCAACTAGAACTAGGAAAAATATACATACATATATATAAACTATGTTGTGTTTAAGAATAAGAGTTGCCTTCAAATTGTCTTATGTTGATCCGAACAATTATTAGATGCACTAAAGAAATAAAATTGGATGCTATGTATGTTAAATTTATAGAATTATATCTGCATATATTGAGAGAATTTTATGGATTAATCTGTATTAATCCCCTGTATTATAGAGTACAACATTATACACTACAATAATACTAATAGATACTTAGCATGCTGGTAGAATTAAATATCCATAGAATTTCATGGGTACTTCGACTGAAATATGCACACCACTTTGAAGCTAAGCTGATGCATAAAATATTTTTACCGTATTCTCTAAAAAAGAAAAGAAAAGAAACTTTTTCCTACTTAATCATTAAAAAGGTTTGGTTAACAAGAATCTACATCATACAGCCAACCAAATCCAATGATAAAAAGTTTGTAACTTCAATTGTCCACTTGCTTGTCTCCAAAACCAAAATAAACAAGAAGTAGGCCCAAATGTTAGTAGGTATGAAAATCTGGACCCAATGTTACATGCAAGTCATTGTTTTCGTAGAACATTTCATCTTAAGAAGTTAGAATTGAATTCCTAAGACCTTTAACTATATCCAAATCAGTGCTTTCAAAAACGTCCATGTCGTTCTTTTTGCAGTTTCAGTTACCCAGTGTAATATCAGAGCCATATGTGAAGCAAAATAATTTTGGATTCTTAAAAAGTGTTTCCATATATGTAATGAAACAAAATTTGATTATGAGGGAGGAATATAGAAAGAAAGGTACAAGAGATGGAAGGGGTTTCACAAGGGAAAGGGACCTTTGTATCTTTTGTTTGGTTGAGTAAGAAAGCAAGGAGAAAGAGAAGGGGAATTATTTGATTTTTCCATTATAACCTACCCTTTTTAAAATAAGATTCTTCTAAAGGTCAAAAAATTCATAAAAATGAGAAGTCTTTTCTGTCCTTTATTTACACTTTTTGGAGGAAGAAATATCGTGGTCCCAGAGAAACTCTCTTCCTTTCCTCCTATATTCCTTCCCCTCCCATCAAACCATGGAGAGTTCATCCTTCCCTCCCCTCCTCCCTTCCCCATTTCCCTTCCTCCCACTATTCCCTCCTTCCAAAGGACCATAAATCCGCAAGTCAATAAACCTTCATTGCCCCCCAGCCAAAAGAAAACTGAAAATAGTATATTATATACCAACTTGAACCAAGCTCCCTTACAAATCCCAATGCTTATTCCCCTCAAAAGAAATTAATAAGGAAAAAACAAGTGACACTGAGCAAAATAGGCATGTGCAGATTATGTTAAATGATGTTCAAATAGTAAAAACAACATAAGGAAACTTCAGGTCTTATCACATTCAACTACAAATTTTTAAACAAGAAGCTGCTTCAATTATTAGTTGTCCTTCGGGGACTTTTGAGCTTACCATCTTTCATACTTGATATAGATTTAAACAGAATGAGTAACCAGAAACCACAAGGCATTTCGTTAGAAAGGAAAAAGAGATTAACAATAAAGAAAAAATCCATTGCTTAATACCATTAAATAAAAAAGATATCAGCAGAATATGTTAAAAGATTTGGAAAAAGAAAAGAATAAGATAAATGATGTTTAAGATGTAAAAAACACAGAAAGGAATGCTGAGGTCACATCACATTTCAGTACGAATTTTTAAGGAAGGTGCTACTTCAGTTATCGGTTGTTCTTCCAGGATTTATTGCTCTCTACCTTTTATACATGATAAGGAACTAACTACACAGAATGAGTAACCCAAAACCCTAGGTCATTTTGTCAGAAAGGGAAAAGAGAGAGCAATGTACCAAAATATATAAGCTAATGTCCGAAACACATTTAGTGTAGGGAAGTCTGAGTGGTCTGTTGGACCATCTCTCAACTGTGCCAACATATCTTGGTCTTCTATCATACTCTTCAGAAGGGCATGAAATAAATACTTGTGCCCTATCATGCACCTGCAATTTGTAGTATTTAGAGACAAACTTTTAAAATTTTGAGATATAGATTAAATGACACCAATTAGATAGAGAGACTTTAATGCGAACTATTTGAAATATCAAATAAGCACGCAGAATAAAAGCATTACCATTGAATGGAAAATGGAAAACATGAAGACAAATAGGATGTGGGTAATGAAATTAAAGCATGTCAACAAAGCAGAACATCAGCATAAGATCACAAAATGGAAAGTCTCATTATCCAGATCAATTTGCAATCTTACCCATGTCAACATGGCACAACATGGGTCCAGTTATGGTCCCTTGTGATTCTCAGACATTCCAATTTGCCAGGTTGTTATGCTTCTCCTCTCATTCTCGTTTATTGCATGAAAATACTGCTTTTCTTTTAAATGATGTGTCCAAGTTTTCTTACTTAGTAAGGTATGAGAGTTAGACAAATCGAACTTCTAGACACGTGCAGCATGTAACATAAGATACAAATGCATGCCATAACAGATGGTACTAGATACATGAAGTAGAAAACTGAAACTAAGAAATCCAAACTGGGAAAAAATAAAAATAAAAAATAATAATAATTATTATAAAAAAAAAATTCCAGTTGCCCACCACAGTGGCACTTTCTTTTTAATCTTACAGTGCCACATGCATCTTTTATATCATTAGGCTTAAGCATTCGAGCTTGTAGAAAATAGAACTTTTTGTCCAAGACAGGGGCCAGATGTATCTATGGCTTTCAACGTTCACTTCAACTGGATACAGACCATAAATCAAAACATGTGACTGTACAGGAAACATCTGTAGCATGTGCTGATGATCTTCTGTTTGCTGCTCTGACCTACCAGAACCAGATTCACTTCTCTGGCTTTATAGGATAAGAAGAAAGGGAAAGATAAGGAAAAAAAAAATAGGAAGAAGAAGTGAGGAAAGTGAGGATGCAAACTAGGGTTGGGAAATTACCAGGGAAAAACAAATACTAGGGTTGGGGGGTTTAGTGGGCTTTGATTCCACGTTACATCCACAAGACACATAAGAGAAAATGAGGGAAACTTGAGAGTCGGACATGCATAGGGTAATGGGAGGAGTGTACTGCTTACAGATCTAACCTTTAACACGACTTTCCAAAAAGTGGCTGCCCTCAGACACTAACCCTCATTCTCATGCATAGCAGAAAAGCAACCAACGTTATTAGGGGGGTACAGGCAGGCAACACCAGTAAATGCTTACACACTCCTTGAAGTCTTTTATCCTCCTTACCACCAGCTCTTAACTTGAGTAGCATATCCGCCACCCCAAAGGGGGAACTCCAAGGTTAAAGCCCAGTTAAGATACAAATTTATCGTACTCTCATCCCCAAAAAAAAAAATAAAATAAAATAAAAGTATCTCTAGACAAATAAAAGAACTACAATGCTTGTGGGCCCCACCTATTACAGAACAAAAACTCAAGTCCAAAGCATTTGCAACCCCAAAATTAAAAGGTGCCACACAAATGATACCAAATGAATTAGTTAAAATATAATACATATATATAAAGGAAAGGGAGTACCTTCGGTATAAACAGAATGCTTCCATTGTATTTTGCAGTGTATTCAGATACATATAATAGAAATCCAAACATCTGGAATGAGATATTCAAGTGCGACTGAATGAGTTGTTCAGTCATTTTGACTATTTAAAGCAGCCGTAACGATGAACTTTTACAAGAAACAAGACCATGATTTATATACCTGGCCTGCAGACTCCATTGAAATTGGGTTTTCAGATTCAACCACGTCAATTTGATCTTTGATGTAAAATGTATCGAATAAAAATGAAGTTTTTTGTAACTGGATGAGTCCATATCCTGTCTTTTCATTATTGGATGGAACTGAAGAAAGAGATGCCGCATTATATTGATTTATAACCTTCCGCAATGCTGAAACCAGTACCATATTCATTAGTAGATCGTTTTAGTGAATTACAATCTTAACTTGCAATATAAAATTTAAGAAATCAATAAACTACCAAATCCTCATGAAATCATAGGCAATATGTTAGATAATATTGCATAAAGCAGCGATGAATTAAACCATATATTTGTAGCTATATCAAATGTACAATAACCTTGCCAGCTAGCTAAGTTCTGTAATGCATGAGTAGTTGATATTGGACCAGGGTTTGGAACTTATCTATACATACTAACCCACTCAAAATTGTCACTCATATAAAAAATGTTCTCCACAGACAACAGCAAGAAGGCGATACAAAATCCTCATTTTGCCACCCTTCATATCAAAACAATATTCCAATGCCATTATAGACCTTTGCAAACTATCTTGCTTCCCAACTAAGCAAAGCCACTAAACCACTGAAGCCTCATAAACTGCTAAGAAGTCAGACTGCCAACTTTTCTGGTCTTTCCAACCCTTTTGGGTCTTCCCCCAAAACCAACTCCTAGCACAGTAAATAATATTATATTGCTCACACAACGTCACCATAACGAGTCTCCCCATTTTGTTTCAATTTACCAGTCACTGACTTTGAAAAGGAGTAGATAGAATCTCCGGAGATATTTTTAATTGAATCAAACCTTTCATTATAGATAAAAAGGACTTTTTGTCCAGGAAACCAAATCTCACAATCCTCAATCAACAGGTCCTGCATAACAGTCTTATAGACACACCCAAATTCAAGTGCAATAAGTAGAATACACTGATCCATTCTACATTTAGAGCATGCTAGAAGATCATGCACCAGGTAATTAAAATGCTGATAGAAAGAAAAAAATTATTTTCTAAATTTGAAGCCCTTATTCGACACATTTCTTGAAACTTAAGCAGCAGCAGGAGCAGCGCCATAGAATTACATGTGTACTTCAATTTAGAAAAGTGGACTAGCATCCATCTATAAAATCATTTATCATACCAGATGAAGAAAAAGAGAATTGAAAAACATATTATCAATTCAAATTTAACATGAAAGAAAAAGACGAAAAAAAAAAGTATCACAAAAGATCAAATAATTAAAGGCACACCTTTGAACTTTGCATTATCCACATCACCAGATTCCTTGATAGGTGCATCCTAGTATAAAACGGTGAAAGATTGATATGGGAACTGGATAGGTAAGATGAATTTTGTAAATAAGTTATGAGAAACATGTCTAGATCATCCTCACATAATCATAGGAAGTAAGGTCAGGCTTGTAATCAGACTCATTTGCACCAGTATTTGCACCATTATAAAATCCAAAGTTAGTTCCACCATGTGCCATCTAGAAAAAGAGAGGCATAAAAATTCATACCATTTGCATCTTAGTGACCACTTGCAAGCAGGAAAAATGTTGAAATTTAGAACATACATAAAGCACAGCAGAACCATTCCGAGACAATATCTTTTCAAGGGCAGCTGCTGTAAAATCAGCATCTGTCTTTGCAATATCCTCTCCCCAGTGTGTAAGCCAACCAGTATAGAATTCCCTGAAATAACAAATATTATGAGCATCATCAAACCACACAGATAACAGATAAAATTAAAAAAACAAAATGAGTCACTGACGCAGAAAGAGGTGGTGATTTCCCCGGGGCATTAAACTCCTTTTGCAACTTAAAGATAGGCCACGGATCATCACCAGTTGAGAAGTCAACAGCTACAAATTAAGAATCAAGGTCAGAAATTGTTAATTCAACTAGCAAAACATGCTATGCAACCATAAAATATTGTATAAATTAATCTGATGCTAAATCTTTGTAACATCCTACAACTTCCCTCACACTTCCTAGGTAAAAAGGTTCACTAATATACTTGGCATATAAAAGCTTAAGGTTTTTAATACTTTTCCCAACAATTGAAATATAAGGATCTTTTTTACCGCATCAATGAGCATAAGCAAACCTACTATTAATGATGGAAACTGTTCTACTCTCACCACCTAGATAATCATTTACACTACTACACATTGCCCCCACTAGTAACCATGGAGACAGACAACTTGGAATAATAGCTAATCTTTTCAATGGTTGATACACGCCATCTTACTTTGGCTCAACAACAGCAGGCCCTTATAAAGACAGAATTAAACAACATGCCCATCAATTAAGCTCATGTTGAGATATAAAATTTGTATTCTATGCTCCCATCAACAATATATAAGCATCAGATAGACCACTTGATACTCTTCTCCTTCATGTAATGCACATTAATTTTTTAACATTTAAAGAAAGATATTACATATATATAAATCATATGTCGTGGAATCCTCCAGTCATGCTGATTTAGGCAGACTCTTAAATGGATCTATTACTGATGCTCTCTCTCTCTCTCTCTGCACCTCGGAATGTGTACAATATTCTCGTTAATTCCAGTGCAGATAAATAAAGTCTACAATTCAAAAAAAAAAAAAAAAAGAGAGTGAGATCATCTTACAAGGCAATGAAACTTCAACAAACATCTAGGCACCATATACAAGCAGCAGTTAAGCATAGAATATATATTGACCTTCTGCCAGCTAAAGCATAGATCAGTAAAGCAGTAAATCCCAGTCATAAGTTCATATCAATGAATACAACAATAATCACTTTATTTTTCTTCCAATTGATGCCTGTTTGGTTAGTTTATTGATTGAAAGCATTTTTCTAGCTTTGGAAAATATAAGAATTTGAGTGATCTGCTTTAGGGTGCTGTGATTGTTGTATTTCCATGGGTCTTGGAAACTTTTGTATAGTCTAAGTGATCTGCTTCTCTGTATTCTTGCTACTGCTATTGGAGTGCACTTCTGGTTATGCAAATTTGTTCTGATCATTATTGCAGTTATGAATCAAAGTCCTTACATGAGCATAAGCACTGACTAACTGGTTGTATTTTTGTTTAGAAATATTGGTTTCTTATATATGCATTTCATCTGTACTTGGATCCTTTTGGGGCTCTCTGTTTCTCTTTTGGTCTGGGCTTGGGTTTTTTTCTCCTCTAGTTTCTAACGTCATTTCTTTGAACACCATCTAATGGCTAGTTTCCTTTATTAATAAAATTGCTTGCTTATCAAATATATATATATATATATATATATATATATATATATATATATGCGTTGCCTTGACTTTTTTTCTACTTCTACTTTTTTTCCCTATAGTAAGTGAAACAATTCCAAAATACTAATTAAATAGTTCAAGGCACTGTTGGGATTGAGCTTATCAGTTTTGAAAGCAAAATCCCAAATCATTCTAGATTTCAGAAATGAGATGATACTTTCAAAATACTAATCAAATATAAATTTAGCAATAAAAGAAAAGGAGAAGTACATATAAAGGGAACACCTACAACCCCCCACCCCCCGGTAGTTTTTTGGTTTAGAAGTATTAGTTTCTTATATATGCATTTCATCTGTACTTGGATCCTTTTGGGGCTCTCTGTTTCTCTCTTGGTCTGGGCCTGGGTATTTTTCTCCTCTAGTTTCTAACGTCATTTCTTTGAACACCATCTAATGGCTAGTTTCCTTTATTAATAAAATTGCTTGCTTATCAAATATATATATATATATATATATATATATGCGTTGCCTTGACTTTTTTTTTTGTCTTCTTCTTTTTTTCCCCTTAGTAAGTGAAACAATTCCAAAATACTAATTACATAGTTTGAGGCACTGTTGGGATTGAGCTTATCAGTTTTGAAAGCAAAAACTCAAATCATTCTAGATTTCAGAAATGACATGATACTTTCAAAATGCTAATCAAATATAAATTTAGCAATAAAAGAAAAGGAGAAGTACATATAAAGGGAACACCAACCACCCCCCACCAACACACACACACAAATGAAGAAAAATAATTGGCTTGAGCAATTACATAGCCAGGACCATTTGACACAAATTATTGTGTCGCAAGTTCCAAACAGATTACTTCTCAATATAATTTCTTTCAAATTCATTAAACTTTCATGTACAGCTTCTTGTATACCTACTATGGTAGAATTTTGAGTCAAATTTTCTCAGATTTTGCATGTGATAAATGTTCCTTCAATTACCTGAAAAGACAGTATCTCCACGAATCGTTCCTTTCTCAAGAGTTTCTCTAGAACCTCCATCTGTAGTATACCTGCAAATCATCCTTATCCAGTCAACAAAAGGACTGGTGATCAAAGAAAAATATTTCTCTAGAACCTCCATTTGAGATGCTATCATCTTATGACCTCAAAAACCTCTCCGATAAACCATAGACAAAAGAACTATATTAAAAAAAGATATCCGCACGCCTAATATTGTAGAGATATGTATTTCATGTATTGTTCATGCATGCATAGAGTTAATTGTGAAGAAAGGATGAGATGAGAGAGTACATGTGCATCTGTCTTCTATATAATGAAAGCAAATTGCAGACTTTCTTCTAAGTTCACAAGTATAGTTCACAGTTTTCAGATTGACAAAAGATAGAAATATATTGAAGTTCTGTAATGAAAAACCTACCAACTATTTATCTAATATCGCCATGACAAGAATGTTGTGGTCCAATCTATTCGACAATTTCCATGACCATCGACAAGTGGGTCCATCTACCAACGATTGTTATTGTTTTTGAGACTTCTGTGGCCAAAACAAGAGTTGCAAGCATCAACTTTATGTTAGTTTTTCGAGTCCGTCTAGGCCAGGCAGTCGTGTTAATTCGCATATTTATATGAGTAATTGAGTTGTTATAAATGACTGCTTGAAGATCATGAAGATATTATTGTGATTGCATGAGGATAAGGAACTGACCATCGTGATGGATCATCCACAACTTAGGACTTGTAAATTCGACTGCTTGGACTTAGGCTTAATTGGAGAGAATTTTGTTTAAAGTGTTTCCAAAAGTTTTAACCAGCCAAGGGCCTAAGACCGCGTCCTAAAGCTTTTTAGTTGCTACGATCATGCTTTTAGTGAAATAGAATCAATGGTGAGTACTGCTGCTCAACTCGAAAGAGGCACCAATGCTCAAATGATTATTTGCTTGCCTTGGTGGGGGCTTGAGCACTAATGCTCAACTACCTAGCTCTGATGGTTAGCTACCAACTTCTAATAAATTATGTTTTCCAAATACAAAAAGGTTTTTAAAAACCATGTTCAATAGAGAAAAATGTGTCTAAATATTATATAAACACCATAAGTGTTCCTTCAATAGGACTTCAAGAGAAAGACTGAGAGAACTGTTAGAGAAATTGTGTATGCTCCCTATGTTATTCTAGGTGCTTTGATTGGTGACAAAGGAAGAACAACAAACAGCAAATCTTTTTATCACGTCTTTGCACTAAATCGTGAAGACTCAACTTATTTGGACTGTTGCTAGATTCCCATATAGGGGGGTAATAGAGGGGCAATGTGGTAGAGGCTAGAACTTGATATCTCTATTGCTGGGCTCCTTCTCTAAGAACTTAAACATTCAGGCCAATTGGTGTTCTAACATACGTTGCAGCATAATTTAAAATGTTGGGTCCATTTTCTAACAGCCTAAATTTGGGAGGCAATTGGTAATCTAACTTGGTATCAGAGCTAAGTGTCCATATTTGTTTCCTGATTTGGCGGCATGTTGCACCTTGTTGGTTTGGTTTGTTTGCCTCACTAAGTGCAAGCGGGATGATTGCACTTGAGACAGGGTTTTAGAGCTTCATCTTCATTGTTGGACTCATTCTCTAACAACTAGAACTTTTTAGACAATTGGTAGTGTAACATGGTATTAAAGTTTTTGATTTCGAAAGGCCTTCAAGTCTCCACCTATGCATATGCTCCCCCTTCTGTTGTGAAACCGTATGCTCAGTTCAATTTGGTCTATCTGCTTGCATCTCCATGTGCAAGATAGAATTATACACATGATTCAAAGACATGGATGTGACCACCGAAGCAGAGTCATAGCAGTCAAAACGAAACAATATCGGTTATTGCGGTTGTGAAATTTTAAGAAAAACCTTGCACACCATAAAATATTGACTCACCTGAGTCCTTAGGTACTAGGAAGATCCTTGGCCAATTCTCTTGGGACTGCGCCAAGACTTGGCCAATTCCCCAAGGACTCGGACAAGTCTCGTGTGATTCTATTTGCACCGATATCTCAGTGAGCGGAACTCAAAGTAGTTGTTGAGACTTGGTCAGTGCAAAGGACTATAGTTATATGTAAGGGAGGCTGTTAAAGCTTGATATTCATTATTAAGTCCATTCCTTCACAACTTAAGGTTTTATAGCAATTCGTTGTCTAACAAAGTCATACAGTGGACTCATTGCTGCCTAGGGAAGGCTCATAGAAAAGGAACAGTCCACTGGCAATCACTTCAAGAAACACAGACTACATGGGGGCAAAATCATTAACCAAGACAGTTACAAGACTTTTTATGACAAGGTTTAGGTGTAAGACTTAATCAGAGGTAAATCAACAAAGGAAATTCTCAACTAAGAATCTGGAACCTAGGATTATAATGTTTTTCCAATATGATGGAGGAAAAAAAATTCCATGAATCAACTGCAGAATGGAGACTTTTCTTTATGTGGAGTGCCATGTAGTGAGTTGGTGGGATGAAAAACGCCATGTAGATTTCCATCTAGAAGACATGTGGAGATGTGGTACAAATACCCACAAGAAGAAAAGGAAAAAGGAAAAAGGAAAAGAAAATAATTGTCAAAAAACCTGCTTGGCACTTGATAAGTTAGCAAGAGAAGCGAGTGGATTAATTTTTTTCTTCTCTATACAATGAGTTTTATTTTTTAAATCCTGGTGTTTGCAAGTAGCAGGTAGATAATTCATATCATCTGACAAGCCCCCTGCCTACCCACAGAAAAGAAAAGGGGAAGAGAAACAATTAGTTTGGCCAATCACATAAGTTTGCAACTATATCCAAGTCCATATCTGCTGATTCGGATATGGTTTCATAAATTTATATAATAAAAGGGTAGTTAAGTCAATTGGAAAAGAACAATGAGACTGAGAATATCTCATATGCAAGTGACAATGCATCAGTCGTAACTCAAATATACTTCAAAGATTATAATTGTTAACAAACATCTACTCCAAAAGCTTAAGAAACTTAAATATATAAATCTTTCGACACGCCCCCTCATGTGTGGCCGTCTTTTGGTCCAACACGTGTTTTTCAATTTCTTAATTAGGGTGACGGTGAGGTTTGAACTTGAAACATTTGGCTTTGATACCATGTTAACAACCATCTACTCCAAAAGCTTAAGCTGTTAGAGATGGTGTAACTTAAATATATAAATCCTTCAACAATAATGAATAAAATAAAGAAGAAGAAAACAGTTTATACTAATTTGTCATGCCTGAAGTCGTTCCATGAAACAAATATGCAATCAGATAAAATAAATAAATAAAAAATAATTCTCTACAGAATAATAATCATAGATTAACAGACATAAAACCACTTACAAAATTATATCATCTCCAAGGTGTCCTCTGGCTAATTTGACCAGATAATGAAGATAAGCTTTGTCATTTCCATATGAACCATACTCGTTTTCAATCTGACATAATAATTCCCATTTATAGGAATATGTTTAAAGTTGAATATTGACAGTATATAAAAAGAATAAAATAATAAAATGTTTAAACCTTTGAATGTAAATGCTCAATCAAAAAGGTTTTATCAATATGAACTCCTTTAAGCAGAACGTCTTGAGCACTGAACATTGAAAATATGACACTTCCGAAAATAACATGTCTGGAATTTGCAATTATACCTTTAACGAGAGCTAAGATGCCTCAGAGATTATATAGAACGCCTTACATGGACTTACTTGGTAAGCCTTAAGCTGACTGGAGACGAGTACAGCAGATGCAACCAAGAGAGCAGTGGTGAAATTTTACATAACAAAATCTTTTCAAGGCACTTCCTTTGAAAATTTCTTTTTCAGTGAAATAGGGACGTTAAGATCATCAGAAAAGGAAGCATCTAAAAATGGAAATACAAGGAGGAGGGCCCATCATCTCTTTATTCATGTAACTCTTGTTTGAGAGAGAACAGGCTCATCCATTTGATTAACTATTAGTGACGGTCTTAAATTATGAAGCCTTATTGATGGATGAGATGATATTATTACTAGTCATGGCTGCAGGACAGTGTAGGTCACGAATTTTTCTCACTGAAACATCAGTACGATCATTTTTAAGTCAAAAATTATACATAAGGCAATCTTGAAACTCTGTAAACGTAACATTTAACCCTCCCCAGACCACGCGAGGGTGGGAACCTCATGCTCTGGGTTTGCCCTATAATTTAGCATAAGATAAAAATATATATGACTGCAGATTTAAGGAAACAAATGTACTTATAGTATTACATGATTAGAAAACATACCGAGTGAATAAGAAACTGAAAATATAAAGTCAAAATGTTGTGCCTTCAGATTGATATATATAGTAGAATCATAAAAAATATATAAGGTGTAATTGCTTGGTGTAAGGGTAAAAATTCTTTAAAATGAGGCCATAAGTTCAAGTATGACAGAACCACTATGTGCAAAATAATGCCAAAGGGCAAGCCTGTCTCTAATCTTTCCCTTCTAGCATCCAGACAGGTGACACAAACACTACCACGTATACGTAATGCACTATTTTACCAGAATTAGGCAAGTGTTACACAAAAATTATGTAAATGATGAAGATTAGCAATTAGACATATTTTAATGACGATAAAAATAGTCCAGTTACACCTCCTCAGAATCTTAAGCTTTTCGAGGAGTCAGTTGTTAACAGAGTTCAGGATGGTTATGTATTTGACCGACTACTTAATAGTTATAGTGTATATTTGGTCCACTCATAAAAGGAATCTGGCTACATGTGAGAGAGACATGTCGACAACAAGACATTTCAGTTCCATCGTCTCTGATAGCTTAAACTTTTAAAGGAGATGGTTCAAACATTACCTGCATACTGGCACTTCCCACTTGCATCATTTTCACATATTTATTTGGATATAATGAATTTCAGTCAATATTCCATGAGTTATGACACGTGATAATGCCTTCTATTAAATTAGGAGTCTTCTGGGTGTGCATCTTTCGATATAAACAAGATGCTTATGAAATTCAAACATTACCAGGTGTTTAGAAACCTTATCCAAAATTTTATACACAATTATATCTACAATTTCTTCGACTCACCCTCAAAAGTAAAGTTTTTGAGAATATCACAAACTCATACATGAAAGACGAGAAGCCTTAGCCCAGTTGGTAATCCAAAGAACACACCCAGTCCGGGTGTCAGACATACAAAAATAGAGAGAGAAGTTCGAGCTTGCTCTCAGCATACAATTTTCAAGGATAAAAGGAAAACAGTATCATTTCATAAAAAATTTGAATAATTGTTCTATGAAATTTTTATCAAAACATAAAAGCATGCAAGTGAAACACTTGGTTCGGGAAAAATCAATAATAATAATCTTCAGTCCGATCCTGAGAGGCATTCTAATAAGTGGAGTGCAGGAGACTGAAGGGCACCTACTCCAACACCAGCTCGACATGGTTGGCCAAGGATTAGTTTAAAGGATTTTCTGGAACTGTGCTAGAAACTAGAAGACTAATACATAACTTCAAAGATCTATCATTATCCAGTTTGGTTGAAATAATTGTATAAAGTAGAATAATATGCTCCTTAATAAGACTTGAGAAAGGACCATCAGCCATTTTCATAATTGAGGGTGTTGGAAGGGGTAGACCATAAAAAAACATAATATTTGGCATTAATTGCACAAAGTGGATGATCTTAAGATTCAAACCCACAATTTTCATGCATGACAATCCCAGCTCTTCCTACTGCACTAAATACTAAGAAGTTATTACTCCATACTATAAATGCTGTTATGGTTAAATACATAAAATGAGTCTCAGAATGTGCTCCTCCAACCAAGGAACTATAAAAAATTTAAAACTTAACAAGTGATATGAGGTAAATATGTTCCAAATTGGAAATTTATTTTTTATGCACTATGTAATTTCTCATATTCTTGGATTCTTAAGTATCAAAGAATATATTCATAGAAGATGAGCAATAAATCATCCCACCTGAACCATGATGATAGGACCTCCATTCCCATAAAGAAGAGGAGTTACTTTTGGAAGTAGGCTTCCCCACCATCTTTCCACCTGTGACAGTTCATTATAAAACTATTAATCACCCTTTACCCTTTATTAATAGAAGAAACACTAAGTATGTGCATTTGGAGAAGTGTTTCACTATAATATCAAGCAAATTGGGAGTCAGGGACTAAGCAAACCATGACAGAACATTGCATCTCACCCAACAACATGGACTGCATTTTTCAATTCACAGTCAAAATACATAGAGGTACATCCAACGGTTTAGATGAGAAACTGAACTGAATAATCTCTACGAGGAGAAAACAGACAGAATTAACTTCCTTTCTATCATTTTTTCCAAATAAAAAGTAATGATTTAACTTTCAATTGTTGTATTTTTACGTGAACAGAAGGAAAATCATGATTTAAAGTATACATCTTATTCTCCAAATTTTTTAGTCTTTCAATTGTTGTATTTTTACGTGAACAGAAGGAAAATCATGATTAAAGTATACATCTTATTCTCCAAATTTTTTAGTTCACTACATTCTCTCTTCCTTCTATTGAATTTTGTGTCATTTCTTATAGAGGATATTTCTCTCTCTCCCCAGCTCTCAGAAAAGTAGACTCTCCTTTCAACAGAAAGATCAACTATTATTATTCAATGATATCAATGGCATCCTAAAGGAGTACATTGACAATCTTTTAACAAATGATTTGTATACGAAATATTGCCAACTTATGAATCATATACAGATTGGAAAACATACGAAGTTAAGGAAAGCAGGGTCTGATGACCTTAGCCGGAGAGCTGGTTGTATGGCAAGTAACCAAGCAGGGAAACCCCCAAGATCCCACTCTGCAACAAGAAGCAATTCTCAGTGGGGAATATCAAATTAACAACAGTGAATATGTAATGTTTTAACTCTTGTTTAGATCATGTGATAATACTCATCATATAAATAAGAGCAAAAGGCCTGACCAGCTTCTCAGAGGTTACTTGGAAAGTGTGTACATTATACAATATAATATATGTATTATGAATATAAAGTTTATCTATAGCACATTTTTCCTCAAGGATGTGCAAAATAAGAAATTGTATTTAGAAGAATTAATTCCATTAAGAATGTGCAGAACAAGAAAATGTATTTAGAAGAAGAAGCTAACCAAAGTTCTACAACTATCCAATGTTTCGTCTATTATCATGCAAAACAAAGTTTACTAGAATTACCAAAGGTCTTGTGGCCTAGTGGCATCTCCTCTATCTCCCAAAGTGGATGGTGAGGGTTCGAGTCCCCAAAGGAGCAAAGTGGGTGTGTGTGTGTGTGTTTCTTGCCAATGAAAAAAAAAAAAAAAAAAAAAAAAAAAAAAGTTTACTAGAATTTATTTCTCAACACATATGAGGAGACAAATTGCATGTTGTTAAACCACAAAATTTAGATGATGCATACTGTTTTGAAAAACCAGATCAGGGTCACAATTAATTAACAAAAGCATGTACCGAAAGGAAGAGATTGACTCTTGGCTCACCTGCACATATATATGGCCCAGGTCGAAGCATAACCAGGAAATCCAGCTTCTGACAGAGTTTTAAGAATGATACAATATCTGCAATACCCTCAAAAACCACTTGGCCCGGATTTGGTTCATGCAGATTCCATGGAACATAAGTCTGAATGGTGTTCAAACCTAATGCCTTTGCCCTTAAGAGCCTATCTTCCCAGTACTACATTCATGAAAAATAAACATCCCATCACAACATCACTAACAAAATTATATAAAGTACAATAATCAAAATTCAGTAAATTCATCATAGTGCTTGGAAGCATGACAGGCCTGGGGAACTGCCATCTGTATATCATTGATCGATTTACATTTTCTATGTACAAACAGGAAATTTCTAAAGAGTTAGTCCTACAAAGTCCCTTCTTCTTTCTGAAATCCTACAAATCATAATATAATTCTTAAAGATCTTGCTCATAGAAACAATCTACGGCTCTCTTTAATTTCACTGACTATTTTCTGGAATAATTTTAGATAACTGAATGTCATCAAGAAATATCAAGCAAAATCTTATTCATATTTTTTACTGATGCATTAGCTTGTATGTCATATTGCACTTGATGTATTTTCCTTCATTCACAACATGTCTTGTTCTAAAATATTCTTAAATAGGAGGTTACTAGGCAGTTATTTACACAATAAAAGTATTATAATGTGGCCACGACCAACCATATTTTAGAATCCAACCTACTGGAACAGCAACTAAAAAACCATTGAAAAGAAATACCTCAGGAAGAACCCGGAAATAATGCAAGTCCCCACCAATAATTTGGAAAGGTTTACCATCTTTCCAGAACATGTCATCAGCAATCTCAAATTTTTGAGCATGCACCTGATTACAATCAACAAATAGAACCATTGACACCATATATATATATATATAATAAATAAATAAATAAAACTTGAAAATGCTTCAAACCCAGAAAAAAGTAAGCATAATAACTGCAACTAGCATTAACACGATCAAAGGCAGCTTTAAGAAATGAAATATGAATCAGCATCATGGCTTGCATGGGAAAAGCATGTGATCAAGATTATGATTGCGAAATTTGCTTGTAATGCTCACCAAATGCCAAATTCATTGTCATGAAAACAGACCCCAAAAAAAAAAAAAAAAATTAACACTCAACTCTGATTCCAAAGATTCATATGGTGAGGTTTCCAAAGAAATGAAAAGAGTCATTCCACTCAACTTATTTAAATAATAGTGAGAAGATAAGCCCGATAATGTATACTTCCATTTTTCTTTTCCCACATTTCCCCAGCCACTGATTGAAATGATTACTTATACATAACACATATCCATCCGAATTCTTCCCGAAATGGAAGAAAAAAAGTAATTCAATTAAGAAACAACAAGTGGAGTTCACACTGAATTCTGAATCCAATGATTTGTACCATTTACGTTTTCAAACTATCGGAAATGACTCGTACAGCTCAACCAATTCAAATAAGTAGGGGGAAAAACTATGCTTTTTTTTTTTCGCTGAATTTTCCCATCCACCAGAAGGAAATGATTAGTCATACAATTACATTCCAATTTAATGTTCCAGAAAAAGCATTCTGTAATGCAAGAAACGGAGCGAAAACCAAAACAAGTCAATAAATAAACTACAATTGGAGTTCCCACTCAGACTAGGGTTTTAGAGAGAGAAAAATGGCTTACTTTCTTGGGGTGGGAAGAATGTGAGGAGAAAGAAGGGAGATGAGCAAAAGATCCGAAGGCGACTAGAGAGAGAAGGAAGATGAAGATCGTCGTTGTTGTGATGCTTCGCCTTCTCGCCATTGTTGACCATCTCCTAACAGTCACTGCACTCAGACCATTACTATTCTTCTTCTTCTGTCCGGTTCTCATTGTTTGGACATCATTCGGCTTTTTCGGAGCCAATAACATAACGTGCGAAGAAGAAGTTGGATGAATATTAAAATAATTCATATATATATGTTAGTAAAATAATTCCTAATGTCACAGTTCAAAAAAAAAAAAAAAAATTTCCTGATGTAAACATGATTTTCAATAAATTTGTATTTACCGAAAAAAAAAAAAAAAAAAATTACAATACAATGATATTATAAACCAAGTTGGAGTTTTAACTGATTAAAATAATATGTGTTGTGTTGTTTCTTATTATTTGAATAGTTAAGTCTTACATTCTTCCTTTATTTCTAATCCTCAACTTTTTTACCATAAAAAAATAAAAAATAAAAAATGCCTTAGACTTGTATGTTTCCTTAATTCTTTTATTTGTTGTTAAATAAAAATAAATAAATAAAATCATTTTCTTTCATTTTCATGATCACCAGTGCAATATACTACATCATTACATACAAAACACATTTAAATCACATATACAACACCTAACACAAAATGGATCAAAGAAGCAACATTATTAAATTAATAATTTAATATATTTACGTAATCATAAATAATTTTAAGATGTGGTATCGTGAATTTAAAGATGTTAGTTTAGAAGTATTCCACTTATTTTCCGACGTACACGGTAAGCAAGAATGCTTGGCAGGCAATCAAAGAAAGGTCTTGGTGTGACTGCAGTTTGTTAATCCACAACTCCACACAAACGTTACATCATTTGGGCTATATGGGGATTAAAGTTGGAATGGATTGGGCCAAGTCAAGGCCTATGTATCTTCTTTTGTTGATATGTTTCTGGGCTAAACTCTAGAAAATTGTTTTGTTTTGTTTTGTTTTTGGGCTTAGTCCAATATGCTGAGCCTATGTGACTCTTTATTCTCTACTTTGCTTTGTCTTTCAAAAAAAAAAAAAAAATTGATGTTAGGAGATTCAAACACAAGTACCACTCTGAGGTTATACAATTCTTGAAAGCATATATATATCATCATCATAACCATGGCAGTACCATCCATTAGGTCTTCTACGGAGAGACTCGATTACCCAATCTTTTATTTTGAAAGGTTAGAAATTATTACTAAATTATAACTCTTGATTTCACGGTAGATACACTAGTTAATTAATATATAAATTAAATATATAAAATATTATTAAGAGTTCTCTTTTGATAATAGTTATAAGCTCAGAATTGGTTTTAAAGGCAAATATCAGAATTGGTTTTAATTCAGTGGTCCATAAAAGAGAACGAATATATCACTCTCGACATGCATGAGCATGAGGGACGCATTGATTGTCTTACTATTTCTTTAACTGATGGTGCAACTAAAGGACAATAATTGGGAATTTGTGTTGGCTGTACTTGTTAATTAATGGCTATGGTGCTTATTTGTTGATATATATAGATATATATATAGATATATAACTGCAGATGTGATGGTAATATACTACAAAAAAAAGTACAGAAAGGAATATAATGAATTGTGAAGCATTAGCATGTTCTTTCTTCCATTATTTTCTTGGAGAGAGATCTGAGAGTATCAAATACAAAAGTTGGTATTATTAACACAAAGGGAGGCCAACATCTTTACAATGCTTTTGGACATGACAAGTCCACTAACATAAAACTTGTTATGCAGCGGATTCGCGGTATCGGTTGACCGGCTCAATTAGTATTATTTAATTCGTAATTTTTTTTCAATGGTTTGATATCGTTTCGCACTCATAAACTGACTAACTTAACCAGTTTATATCGATATTCATCGAATTTGTTACACTGCGATCATTATCGTAACTAATACGTGAGTGCAAATCAAGAATTCATGGCATGCACCATGTAATTAATTTCACAAACACAACAAAATATCCATTCATTCCAGCTGCAAGCTCCAAGAGTGTGATGGATCATAATCAGCTTTTGAAGATGCCACCATACATTGTTTTTCTTTTTCTAAGTCCACGGGACAAAAAGCACCCCAACAAATTAAAGCACCAAAAGATCTAACTCACTACTAGTTGGTTTGGGAAGCGTGCGCTCTCTCTCTCTCTCTCTCTCTCTCTCTCTGTATCTCCCTCTCTCTCTCTAAGCCTTTCTGTGATCATCCGCCTGTCTAGCAAGCTAGGCTTTTCCCCCACTCGTGTGTGCACGTACTACACACACATGTGCCGCAAACATACTTTATACAAACACAAACATGCATGCCATTCTTGTTATCTATGTATATTATATATAAATGAATATATATATATATATATATACACACACTTTAGAGAGAAATATACCAACATTAATATCAAACACATTTCCCTGGAGAGAGGAAAAAGAAAGCAAGTGACAAACATGCCATGCATTCTTAATTTCCTAGCTTTGGAGATGGCAATAAAAGATATGTGTCCATTCCTCTCTCTCTCTCTTAAGAATATAGTAACATCAACAGATCAGTAGTGGGTTTAGAGGAATTTTTTGCATGTTCCATTTTCATAGTTAAAAACCAAATTTTCAAATAAAAAACACAAGCCCTAATACCACCTTTTGAGGTTAGGCCCACACATAACACACACATCTAAATTGACCTACCACAGGAATATTTGCAGAGATTCTAAAGTTTTACATAGGAGTAGCTACTTTATTTGACTATAGGCTAATCATACCTTACCAAAAAACATTACATATGAATATATGATTACTTATTCTCACAATGTCTTCTATACATTACAAGTTCCAAGGATTTTATGATAAAGTAATTAATGTAAGATTCAATATTCTAAATCCCGAGAAGATATATATATTAACTAAATTAAATTATAAAATTCATACATGCGCACGACTTGTTGACAAAAATAATAATTAATGGGAATCTAATATTCTTACACAACAATGACATATTTGGCGGATGATCGGTTGATGATATAAATGAAATTGAATTTCTTGCATGATCACTATTTGTGAATTCACTTTCTCTCCGCGTGCATTATTTCATTTGGAGAGAGAGGAATCAAAGGCTGTTTGCTGCACCTAATTCATCTATATGTGCCGGGGATTGAGTTACATGTGGGGCTTAGTGGGGGCGGACACCGCCACTGAATTTTTTTCATTTTGCTATAATGCATGCAGTTTTTTTGGTTTGGTCCAATTGAATTTTATTTATATATTATTGTTCAAGGCCGTCCCGCTCAAATAATTAATTTTCTGATTCGGTCGCTGATATATATTTGGCTATCTTATTCACTCCATCTTTTATATATACAGTGCACAGAAGTTCATGATAGTTTCTCTGCTACATCAATTGCCTCTCTTTTTAGGCGAGAAAAAACACCACTTAAACCAAAGTCTTGATCATTAAATTTCATCAACAGTGGAAAAACCAACTCTATTTCCTAAAGATTGACATTGATGTTACATTAATATCTGTGTGTGTAATCTCTCTTTATATTATACTGTATTGTATGTACGTATCAGAAAATGAATCACATGTGGAAAGTTTTTGGTAGTACTATACATACATATGTGTATATATATATATAAGTAATGGTAGAATGGAATATATATTAGAAAGACAGAGACTAGACATCCCCTTCTTACAGACACAAGTGTATAGTCAGCCTCATCGACATCAAACTCATCTTTCCTCGGGATTGAATCCCACTTCCACCCGCATCACAGGCCAAAGTACAGCATCTTTTTTTAAAAATAAAAATTAAAATTAATCTGCAAATAAACAACATATTCAACCATGCTAATTTGGATATCTATGTTCCATATCTTTCTTTGAGAGAGAATCCTATGTTTTTATACTCATCAACCGTATATCCCAACTTCGACCTAAAATGTAATCCGTATTATATATATAGAGATTATATATATATATATATATATATATATATATATATATTCGTATATCCAAACTTTTAATTACTTTAAAACACTATTTTATCTGATGATAAGAACTGACAGTACACATGTTTGCATTGATGAAGATGTGCCTAATAATTGAACCACGTACACCATTACCATAGAGCATTGCGTTTGTAGTACTAAAAATTAAACCCACTTCAATTAACAAGTTATATAGTGATAAAGCATTGCATTTGACGTATAGTACTAAAAAATAAAACTCACCCCAATTAATAAATTACATAGTGAAAAAGAAGAAGTGTAAACCATTCTTTCCCGAACAAAATGGTGTATATATACCAGTCATCAGAACCTTTGGGAAGGTAGAACTCTCATTAAACTCACCACAACTTCCATTGCGTGATTATTCAATTGGATAAAAGCAATATCAATAAAAATAAAAAAATAAAAAAAAAAGATAAAGATGACAAAAATATATATATATTAAATGAAAAGCTATATCAAGATATCTATCTACCTCAATAAAACTTTTATTTTTCAATAAGTAAGGAATAGTTTTATAACCCCCAAAACAAGAAGATACACAACATATTATATAGGCAATAAAATTCATCCAAATAAAGCACCAAAGCATATGAAAATGTCACTATACATATTAACTATCTTTAAGTAACAAAAAGGCTAGGGTTCCCCTTCCTGGTTTCTTTATTATGTTTAACCACAGGTGAAAAGCTACAAATAATTACTTTCAAAAGAAAGGACTTTTAAAGAACATTCATGGAATATATAGCTAACACATTAGGGTTTCAAAAGATGTCTAGAAGTTTTAGAAAACAAAATTAAAGGGTGTGCTTAATTAAGAACTAGCTAGCTAACCTTGCCATGACTTTTGGGATTGATCATTTCCATTCTCATGAGGACTGCTCATGCAATTACCAAAACCAGTTATTTTGAGAATGTCACTATGAGAGAGTGGTCTTAGTCCCAAGAAGTCTCTTGTCATACCATCATTTCCACCACCACCACCACCACCATTACCACCACCACCACCACCATTACCACCACCTTCCTCAGCCCTACCAAAATGATGATGGGTTGTTGTCTTTGAGAGAGTTTCATGGAAACCACCATCTTTTTTTGAATTCAGTATATCACCAAATGCATCATCATCAAAGGAAGACCCATCAAAGTGATGAATATTTGCAGAAGAAAGAGAATTCATCATCATGTCTTGAAGAAGAGAAGGGGGTGCACCTGAACCTGAACCTGAAGCACCTGTTGGTCCTGCAATACTTGCAGCCTTATTCCCAAAAGGAGCCAAGCCATGTACAACCCCACTTGTCATATTCTCTTCACAAGAAGACAGATTTAGACCAAAGCCAGTTGTATTGTTGCCAGAACCAGCAGACATGTGTTGACCTTGATGGGGCCTCATCATGGCCTGTGAGTGTGGTGAGCAAGTAATATTGCTGCTCATGGTTGCACCCATCTGAGTTGCTTTTTGCAGCAATGCAGTTGCAGACATGTGTGGGATGCCTGTTGGATGGTAAGGTGGCAGGCTAGGTCCAAGATTAGGGTTAGGGTTTGGGTTTTGATTCAGTACTCTTAAGTCTTGGGTAGGTGTGAATTCTTGATCTAATGACCTTGTGGTGAAGATTGATGAGGTGAGATCCATATGTGGTGGTGGGCCACCAGCTAGCCAAGGTGGAAGTACTTCTGCCCTTGGACTGAAATTTTGTTGCTCCTTTTTCATTGAAAATGCATGGAGGTCATGGTTGCTCATGAAATGGGGTTGAAGGTTGATCATATGAGGTGTTGAATTGGCAGATGCTTGTTGAGAGGAGAGAAGTGGGTACCCTGAACTTGCTCTTGCACTTTCTTGTGCTAAAGCATCACAAAATGCTCTGTGAGTGATGAAACTATCCCTCCTGAAACCCAAGAGAATCACACATAACAAAACAAAATTAGACCGTCATAAAGTGCCAAAACATTAATGCTCTCTCTCTCTCTCTCTCTCTCTCTCTCTCTCTCACACACACACACACACACACAAGATATCTCTGTATTATGAGTTTGTTAGTGGGATCTTAATTAACAATTAACCAAAATGAAAATGTCAAATAACATCTTGATTGTAGAACTCTCTCTCTCTCTCCCTCCCTCCCTAGACACTGCCTATAAATCTCAATAAATGAACACCTTACATGTGGTTTGACAAGAGTATTTATGTTGAAGCACTTTTGGTAGCTAAAATGATGATGATGATTTGGGGGTTAGTTATATATACCTAGAGAAAAGGGTTCCACAGTCACATCTGTACTCTCTGGAGCCACAGGTCTTGGAATGAGCTTTCCAATCTGATTGAACTGCATAACGCTTTGAGCACTTGTCACATTTCCACTTCTTCTCACCATGCTTTCTGCAAAAGTGCTTCTTGATTCCTGTGAGGTCCCCAAGAGCCCTTGATGGGTCATGGTGGACACAACCATCTTCTGGGCACACAAACACCTTCTTCCTCACCTCTTTGCTTGTTCTCTGCTTCAGCTTCCATGGCAGATTGTGGCCTCTTCTGTGAAGCTGCAGATTCTGGTCTCTCTGAAACCCTTTGTTACAGATCTCACATATGAATCTGTTGGTTGCCATCAGAGTCTTGGGTGACAAAGCTATCACTTCTGCTTCTGGGTCTGACTCAAATCCAACAAAAATTAAAAACCCAAATCAGAAATTTGCTTAATAATTAAGAAAACCATCAAATTAAATTAAAAATTGGATTTCAGATAAGGATTTGAGACCTGGGTTTCCAGGAAGGTTTCTCTTCTTCTTGAGTGCTGGTTGAGTTTGATTTGGTGGAGGAGAAAAGTAGTGTTGGCCAGAAGAAACACTTGCTTGATGATCACCGGATGCAGAAGTTAAATTAGACATGTTCTCTTCCAATACAACTGGTTGTTGCTGTTGTTGGATTAATGTCAAACCTTTTTTCATCATCTTCTTCTAGAGATCTTCTCTTTTATGTGTGATAGGGATGTGTGAGATCTAAAGACAAAATTCAAAGCACAAACAGCTAAAAGAAGGAGAAAACATTTATATATACATATATATATATAGAGAGAGAGAGAGACAGACTGATGATTTTGAGTTCTTATAAGGAACTTCTTTGAACCCCAAAAACTTCAGCTGCCTCTTGATGGTTTTTTCTTGCTTTGGCATCAACCCAAGAGACAATTTTCAATTTTTTGAGAACAAAAGGAAGGAGAGAGAGAGAGAGAGAGAGAGAGAGAGAGCTAACTGAAACTGGGACGGATACTCCAGCAACCCTTTACCTTCATGTTTGAATGAGTACTGCTTGCTAAAACCAAAGAAAAATCATAATCCAACAATAACCATTCAAAAACAAACAAAAAAAACTAGCTAAACGAGCTAGTTAGAGAGAGAGAGAGAGATGTGGATGAGGAGGAATCCCCGTAATCCTCCAGACGTCCAAAACCATACCCTAAGGCTAACTCTGACGTGCACTTTCTGTCCTTTCCTTTGTTTTCTTCCCAACCCCATCATTTTCTTTCTTTACTATTTTTGCTTTTCCACAATATTACTCTACTTAGTTTCAGTGTAGCGACCGCCTGAAAATTTTAATTGACCAATTCGCCCTTACCCGTATAAGACAGTGAGTCAAAATTCCCAATGCCCTTGAATTCATGTTTCAACTATTCAACATATTTATTGTACATGTCTAACAAATTTGTTTTAGATTCCTAATATATGTTTTTGTGTGTTGAAATTAATATTAAATATATTAAAATAACTTTTAACATTAAATTTTTTTTTTTTAACTCATTTAACAAATTTTTTAACTGACGGTTTGGTTTCGTTGCAAAAATCTGGTCTAGAAAGCCCTATAATATGAAATAAAATAAAAATTGTGAAGAATATTTTAATAAGAATCAGATTAGTGTAATCAACACGTGTTCATTAAAGTGAAGCTCAAACTGAACTTGAGAAAATCTTAATGGAACTAAAAGAAGAATAGTAAAAGAAAATTGTATGAGTGAATTTCACATAATAAGGTGTAAGGAAAGATTTGAAGTACATGTCTGCAAGGATTCAAGTTGTTCAATAATTTTAATAACATGTTTTTGAGAAATCAGAAAATAAATCCAATTCTTAGAGAATTGTAGAAGACATAATACTAATTCTTTTTTTCTTTTTTTTTCTAACTCAAATTTTCAGACAATGTACTTGAATCTTCTCTCTGCATTAGAGGATAAAAATCATCTTCCAAACCATGAAAGATCCCTCTATTAAAATGATTTATTCTTTCACTAAGATGATCTTCACCCTCCATTGTGCACTGTCAAGGATACATAAGATGATTCGAGTTCACCCTTTTTTTAAATATATGTATGTGTATATATATATATATATATATATATATATATATCATCAATTTATTATTGCAGAGAGTGGAGTGCCGGTTCGTTATTTAGCTCATCCTTTTGTATAATGGCAGTGCCTTTCCTACAAAAGTGAACCCAAAAAAAAAAAGAGGCAACCATGAATAAAGCATTAGATTTGTATATGCACCCAGAGAGAGAGATTGATTTTGCATAAATTAATTTAGATAATGGGTGGTAGACCCTTCTCAGCTTTCTGAACTACAGGAGGGACATGATTGATTCATTGATTAAATCCTATACCATGATTATGCCTAAAAGTTAAGCCTATAATTAAATCCCTAACAGACATGATCTTCGCTAAAAGTTAACACTATATATTCTACTTTACACCTCTTTACTCTTTCGTGTCATTATCAATAAACATCAATTATTAACAATTACAACACCACATATTTCAAACATTTTTCAATGGTGCTCTAACTTAATTAATAAATGTTAACTATACGTCTATATATATACATATAAATATATATGTTAACTTGATTGAAATGTAAGTAAAAACAAAATTTTAAATCTTGTTGACTGAGTCAACTTTTGCAAGAAATAGTAATTCAGTAAAATCTGTTTAATTGCAGTAAATAAGGTAAAAGTGAAAAAAATGAAGGCAAATTCAGAAACATGCATGTTTGATGTGTTGGTTGTGCTACAGACTACATATATATATATATATATATATATATATATATAGACACACATAATCTATAAAGAATGTTAGTAGTACTCATGCCTTATGGAGAGCTACATTATCTTTATGCCTGCCTGTCCATGTTTTTATATGGAGTTAGTGTATCTTAAAAAGATAGAAGGTGTATAAAAAAAAGTGAAATAAACTAAGTATTTTTCTTTTGTCATTTTCTTGTTTTATTCTTCAATGATTTAGATTTTGAAATGGGGTCCTGTTCGACCCAAGTCTCAAACATTCCCTTCCAGCTCATCTCTTCCTAAAATAACAAAAATACACACACATACTCAGTATTTATAAATGGAAAGTACTAGTAAATAATGCATTGTTTATCATTCCAATATATATTGATCCAATAATGCAATCAACACAGAATATATATATATATATATATATAGACGTATATTGTTGAGCTCTTGTATATTCAGTGTGATTATTGTTGTCTCTGTAATTAATCTGTGTCTAAATAAAAAGAATAAAAAAATAGAATGATGGATGATAAATTTTTTAAGGTTTGAGAATGAGGTAGGTCCCATGATAGGAACTCATCAAGATCTAAAAGCTAAAAGTTCTTACTAGGCTCATAAGAGCAACTCCAATGCTCTTTCATTTGGTGTTGGGTATGATCAAAGTCTGTCCACATTAATTATTAATTATGACAATTTACAATTGTCAATGATGGAGATTCATGTCATGTTCATATATAAATATAAAAAAAACACACATGAAATAATCTGTATTGATTTGTGTCACATATGTAATATCCTATCTTGTGAATATGTGTGTGTTTATTATATTAATTCTGCAAAGTACCCCCAAATGAATATGGCTCCTGAGCCCTGTACTCCAATGCAGCCTACATTTATGTACATGTAAATACCAGTTGAAATATAATAAATATTTTACATTGAAATAAGTGGAGCCTTAAGTGACAATAATGTGCTCGGTGTTAATCTTGAAAATTGTAAGTTGAATCCGGATCTAATTTTTTGAAGGACAATACTTACGTGATGTGGACCAATAACATATGAGCACGTCTTTTTCTAATGTTTGGTAATTAACCACCATCTATAATTTGATAAGTAAATATATATATCATCATTTTTTATTGAATAATGATAGGGAAATCGATAAATTAACCCTGAATAAATATCGAATCTGTCGTGTTTTTGTTCGTGCTTTAGTCCACCTCATCTACTTAAACAGTTTCAAAAAATAATTGTTTAAATTCGATATTAACTTGGTGATTCATTTTTGGTTCCCTTATCATTACTCTTTTTTATTTGATAATTACAGATGGCGTGCTTATGTTTTATTGATTCAAATCAATAATTATCTCTTTTTAAAATTAAAAATTATGGGACCTGAGAAAGTGTATCATTACCTAACTAGTTTGTGTCTACATGAAAATCAGACATTATCTTAAAATCACTATTCAAATCCCCATAGTTGCATATCATTTCTTCTTATTTTTCAACTTCGTACTATATAATGGTCTAGGTCCTTTCATTGGATATCATTAATTAACACCATGTTTCTCTTCTTGCCTATATATATATATATATAGTTAGTAATTACTAGCTATAAACATTAACAAATTAAATGGTGTGAGGTACGTGTTGATGGCCACAGTAGATGTAATGTCGTGATTGGAGACAAGCTTGTTTCTTCTTTAATAAATTATTCATATCCATCAGCTTTATTGTTAAATTAAGTATATAATACTATCTCCATTAGGAAGGTTCAGCAATTAAAATTTAAAACCATTGAAATTTCACTACAAACTCTCTCTCTCTCTAGAGAGAGAGAGAGAGACTACTGGAAGTAGTAACTTAATAAACGTGAGAATGCCATTCAAAAAGCCAGAGTGTGAGCCAAGTAGGAGTGAAACAGACAGCAAGAGAATAATAAAAATTAGCAAGCAAGAAAGAGTTCACGAGGAGGCAATATGAAAAGCATTGGGTCCCACTCTATATGATTGAGAAATCACTGGACCACACTCCACCTCCACTCGTTACATGTCTATCGATTCCCTAAACTCAAAACTCAATACACACTTGTATATAAATAATCATACAGCAATTTGAGCATGTCAATCCAAATCCTATTTCGTTTCGTCCAATCTTCAGATAGATTTGGACTCTTTTGGTATTGTGGGGGTGTGAGAATGGTCAAATGGGCTGCTGTTTTCAGTTTTCATGATATAATGGAGTAATTTTAACCTTCCGTCAATCTGTTTTTAAATTTGTGTTTAATCTTGTCTCTAATTTGACTAATTGCACTCTTGACAGACCGACATCTATAATAATTTACGCGTGACTCCCACAATTTAGAAAACAGAGATACAAAAACAAAATACGAGTATGACACTATATGAATATTATAATACTATAAATTTTAAAAAATTAAAATATAAATACAACATAAATATTTCAAAAAATAATATATTATTATATATAGAAAAAACAATCATTTTTATTTATTTTATCCACGTAATCACAAATGAAAACACTAATTTGGAGTTTAAAATTATATGTTTGCTATTTTTGTTATTTTAAATTTAATATTATTTTTGTACACTATATTATTTTTTAAATATCATTTTTAAAAAATATTATAATTATAAAATTATGGAGCGTTTAAAATATGTCGTTGTCCTGTCCAATTAAAAAATACAATATTAAAATTTTATGACATTTTGAATAGTATCGAAATTCAAACCGCATGCACGTATCCACATATCTAACACCGCCACGATATTTGTCGGTGAAGTGTCAACCAAAAGAGATGATCCTATCCACGTGTAAGGTATTTGGGTGAGAGTTCATGAAGAGTGATAAATCTTAGGAGCAATGCTCTCACTCCCAAGTCCTATTTTTATTGAAAGTTTCTCCCAAAGCCCAAAATTAACAACACAAAACTGGTGGGTTCTAAAATAAGCGTGAGGTGACAGCGACGCACACCTTTCACCCACCACCAGTGAAAAGGACTAATCGACGTCAAGGACTCGTCCTTGACCGACACTCATACGTGGCGACTATTGATTGGAAGCATACTACAAAGTCATGCAAATTGCGTGACATTATCGAACCCCCCTCTCTCCATACAAGTCTCTGACACTGACAAGGAGTTCGTTGTCAGAAGGGCGGCAGAATTCCTTTTGAAATCTGTAATCAATTTTCCCTTTCTCTCTCTAACCTTCTTGTGGCCCCGCACCGGCTCATAGTCAAGCAAGAAGGTGTAAAGCAAAATCAATTAGCAATACTTTTCAGCATTTGCAAAACTACAATCTAAACATATTGTCATCAATAAATTAATTGATAATTTCCTGC